ACAGTTAACGCTTAACCGATGTTTACCTGAGATAGATGCACGCTTAGTCGACGGCACGCCCCTGGCCATACGGGAAAAGGTGGAGCGCGTAAAAGTCCGCTGCGTGGGGAACTTCGGGTTTACACAGGAAATGCTCGCGTCGACACTGGATGGGCACGACATTTTATTGGGACGTGATTGGGTGCGACGGTACAACCCACGGATTGACTGGACGACGGGGAGCTGCACAGTGCGAAGTAGTGGTAACTGGGTCGTTCTACCTCGCTGGCAGCCACCCAAATCTTCGACGGTCCAGGTCAACGCCATCACGATGAAACGGGCTGTCGCTGCTGGAGCTGACGTGTACGCAGTGGATATCGCACTCGTAGAAAAAGATGAGCAGCCGAGTGCTTTGGAGAAACTGCTGGCAACTGTACCGACCGAACTACAGGCACTACTGAAACAGTTCCCGGGGATATTTCCGGATGATTTACCACAGGGACTGCCACCTCAGCGCGCGCACGACCATAGGATCGAGTTAGAACCGGGGGCACAGCCAACTGTACAGCGGCAATTTCGACTGACACAGCCCGAGCTCGACGAGTTAAGGAAGCAGTTAGATTACCTGTTAGAGAAGCAGTTTATCCGTCCGAGCTCGTCACCGTTCGCCGCACCGATACTGTTCACACCGAAAAAAGACGGAGGGTTCCGCATGTGCATCGACTACCGAGCGCTTAACAGGGTAACAGTCAAATCGCGATACCCCATCCCCCGCGCCGACGAACTGATCGACCAACTGCGAACAGCACGAGTCTTTTCGAAAATAGATTTACGGGGAGGTTACCATCAGATTCGGGTCGGACCATCGGACTGCGCCAAAACAGCATTTAGGACTAGGTACGGGTCATTCGAGTATACAGTAATGCCATTCGGGCTGACGAACGCGCCTGCGACATTTCAGATGACCATGAACGAGGCGTTTAGACCACTTTTAGATAAATGCGTGATAGTTTACCTGGACGATATTCTAGTTTACAGCTGGGATAAGCAGCAACACTTAGTGGATCTTGAAGCAGTTTTTAAGGTTTTGGAGGAACATCGGCTACTCACCAAGGGCTCCAAGTGCGAGTTTTTTCGGGACAGACTAGAGTTTTTGGGTCACGTCATTTCGGAGGCTGGGGTTGAGATTGACCCAAAGAAGCTGGATACGGTAAAAGCGCGGCGCCCTCCGACGAACATCACGGAACTGCAGAGTTTTTTAGGTTTTGTTAATTACGTTCGACGGATCGTGCCCGACATGGCACGTTTAACAGCCCCACTCACTGATTTACTGCGTAAGGGGGTCGCTTTTACGTGGGGGGAGAAAGAGCATGCTGCCTTCTCTGCCCTGAAAAACGTTCTCTGTTCACCACCCGTTCTACGCATCGCTGATCCCCACCGCCCTTTCGAAGTGGTTACCGACGCAAGTGACATCGCCATCGGAGCTAAACTGTTACAGGACTTCGGCGACGGCCTCCAACCCATCGCCTACGAATCACGCAAACTACATCCGCCTGAGCGAAATTACCCGATACACGACCGCGAAATGCTTGCGATCGTGCACGCATTCAAAGTATGGCGCTGCTACTTGACCGGCGCAGACGTGACAGTACGGACAGACCATCGATCTCTACAGTACCTCCGCGCACAGCCCCACCTCAACCCACGACAGATTCGATGGCTCGATTTCCTCGAGTCGAATTTTCACTATACGGTCACATACAAAAAAGGAGCCTCGAATATCGCCGACGCACTGACCCGCCCCACTGCCCAGATCCACGCGATACTACTCGCCCAGACCAGCCCGCTACTGACAGGCCTATTTACCCACGGATATCAAACAGACCCGTTCTTTACAAGAGGCAACTCACAGCAATTCGCAGCGGCACAAGGAGTCTATTACGTAAAAGCTGGAACCGACCGCATCTGGGTACCAGGATACACGCTACTGCGGGAACTACTGTTACAGGAAGCACACGACGGAGTTACCTCGGGACATTTCGGGGTAGAAAAAACACGGCAGCAGCTGCAGCGGTACTACTACTGGCCAGAAATGTTGACCGATGTGCAACGACACGTGGCATCGTGCCCCACTTGCCAGCTCATGAAGTCAAGCAGGAAGCGGCCGGCGGGACAATTACAACCCATCCCGCCCCCAGAGCGTGCTTGGCAGCAGGTGACGATGGATTTCGTCACGGGGTTACCAGCTGGGGCGAGTGGGAATGACGCGATCCTGGTCGTCGTCGATCGACTAACGAAGATGGCTCATTTCGCAGCATGCAGGAAATCAATCACAGCCGAGGAAACCGCCCGACTCTTCATCACCACCGTCGTTCGACTGCACGGGATACCCGCATCGATCATCAGCGACAGGGACACGAAATTTACAAGCAACTTCTGGCGGAACCTGTGGCAGCAGTTCGGCACGCGCTTACAGTTCAGTTCATCCTATCACCCCGAAACCGACGGACAGACGGAACGGACAAATCAGACCATGGAGCAGCTGATTCGAGCCACGTGCGACGATCCGAATACGTGGGAACAGCAGCTGCCACTCATCGAGTTCGCATACAATAACGCACCATCAGCCACGACGCAACAGTCGCCATTTTACTTGAATTACGGACAGGACCCAACAGTACCCATGACACCGAATCCCGACAACCCCGTCCCACGAGCACAACAGTTCGCCGAGATTCTGCAAGCAGCACGGACCAGGGCAGCAGAAGCAATCAAAAAATCAAACATCATCGCTAAACGCAACGCCGATCGCCATCGCAGACCCATTACTTATCAGCCCGACGACCTGGTTTTACTCGACACTCAGAACCTCCGCCTGCCCATCACTCCAAAACTCCGCCCTCGATACTGTGGGCCATTTCGAATCAGTCACATGGTTACGCCAGTCACCGCGCACCTCCTCCTCCCTGCTGACTGGTACGTCAGCCCCTCGTTCCACGTTAGCTTACTTCGCCCTTACGTGCCATCCACCAGCCAACTCCCACGACATCGACCCACCAGCATGATACGACCACCAACCGAACCAGTCATCACCCCCGACAAGATCCTGAGTCACAGAGTTCGCGACCCTCGAGGAGCCCGCAAAGTAGAGTTTCTGATCCGCTGGAAAGATCGTACCCCCACCGAGGACAATTGGGTTCCCCTGGAGAAAGTTGAAAATCACCCCGTCGTCACCGACTACCTACGTAGCCGCAATTTCCGAGACATCCACGCGCTTTCATAAGGAGGACCTCCTTAGGAGGGGGGGTAGTGTAAGGAAATTCCCTTTTCCTTACTTCGCGTCCCTGCTCAACGCGTATATCACTGTAGCATCTCAGTCAGCACCATTACCACTCACGACCATCGCATCATTCATCATCCCGCCCTTTTCGCACATCGCATCCCGACCTCACGGCTCGGCTGGTAACCCGCGCTCCGGGCCTACGCTTCGACACTTTCCCAAACTCAGTCCCAGGCTCGTCGCGCGACCATTACCGTTACCACTATAGTTTCGCTATATAATGTTCGCTCATGCCTTCGCTCAATTGTATTCTTGCTTCGATAGTGCAATTCTCGTTCGTTCACTCAATTGCACTCGTAACATATGCGATGTAGCCGGACTCCGTAAGGAATGCCGAGAAATTCCTTACACTAAAACATGATTGAAACCGCTGGACATGTGCGTTACTCCCGAAAAACATTCCACCAATCACAAAGCATCACCTGGGTCACGTTCTTCCAAACAGTCGACAGTTCTGGTGTTTTTAGTGCGGGCAAGCCAATCGCGGCGCATAGCTTTTCCCGCCGCCATAGCGAGCAGCAATCAATCATTTGCACGCCTGCCAGCAAATGCTGCAGCATGTGAGAGGGTCAATTATTTTCTGCCCGTTTCTAATCTGCTGGCCTGAACGCCTGCCTTGCTGCTGCTGAAACAGGAACCTCTGGGCAGGCTGCATCTCTGAGGCACCGCAGAAAATCGTGCAGAAACGCACTGTAGCCCTATCGCCTGGTATAACACCCATGATGAAATTGACTTCAGCTCAAATTCAAGATTTCCTGAATGGACTCAAAGATCAATGTGCACTCCCTCAGCTCCAACCGAAATCGGGAGTAAAAACCGCCACAGCGCACAGTACAGAACACTACAGTACCTCCAAGTAGGCCTCGCCTCCTCCACTCCACCTGTTCACCTCTCGTCCATGTCTCGTCTCCACCACACGCAGTTCATCTGAGATTAGGTCTTTCTCACTTCATTCGAATCAAAGCTGGTAGTTTGTATGGTCTTGTGGCATTAGCGATCGGGGATTGTACTCAGCAACGTCCATGCATGTTTAGGCATGTTTCGTACGCCGTCGCGCTCAGAATGTCGTCCAACCACACCGTCACGTCAGACGTCGACCGGTATTACAGACGGCCGGAAGTTTCCGGCAGACAGCGGGTTGCTGTCGTCAGATGACGAGGAGGCGCTCACTGGCTGGACCGACGGAAGTAGCCGACGACCTTTAGCGAGTAAAGCGTCAGGTCTTAAAGGGGAGGTAGAGCCGACGGTATCTGGCCGGATAGTCAAGGACGAGACAGCCAGAGAGAAAGGGGGAAGGAAGAAGGAGAAATCAGGACGCGATGGCGATGGAGGAAGTAAAGACGAGCGGAGGAAGGAGGGGAGGAGGAAGAAGTCGCGGTCATGGAGCGACATGTCCTTCGAAGGCGACGAGCGATTGCTCGCCGCTCACGATGATGGAAGCAACCGCGCCGCCGTGAAACCTTGGAATTCTGGGGAATCTCCCGAAGCGCGCGATGTCTTGTTCGTTTCCGACACGAGCGGTCTCGCTAGGGTTGACTCAGCAGGGTCGCCGTCGAACCTGGCGCAGTCGTGGTGGCGCGTGCCTCGGTCACACAGCCGAGCCGAGAGCACAGGCTCGGCGAGCTCCTCAATTCCCGGGCCTAGCTTTGTGGAAGTTCAGGGTCGCAAAAATGAGGATGAAATGGCGGTCGACCAATCAGGCGACGCCAGGTCATCGTCCCCCATCCCGCACATTGGCTTGCGAAAGCATGTAAAGAATCGACTATCCAGGATACTGGGACACGTGAAAGGGAAGTTTCTGGGTAATGGGGAAGAAGAGGAAAGGGCAGATGCTGGGGACGGGTGGGAGGAGGGGGAACGCGCAGGGAAAGGGCACGCGGAGGAGGGCGGGTGGGGAAGAGCGGGGGAGGGGGAGTGGGGGGAGAGCGAGGGGGACGGGGAGGGCAGCGAGAGCAGTTTCGTGCCTGGGAGCGAGGGGGGCAGCGTGGTGGTATGGAGCGAGTCAGGCACGGTGACCACAGGGGGCGCGTGGAGCGAGGCGGAGAGCGTGGTTATCCACCCCTCCCACAGCGCTGCTAATAGTGCAGCAGCGCGTGCCTCGAAGCAGCAGCAGCAAGGGCGCGTTGGGGGGCGTGCGGGGGAAGAGCAGGGCCAGAGCAGCAGGGGAAATGCGCGGGGGAGCGGGTGGAGAGGCGGAGAGGAAGCGGAAGAGGAGGGAGCACGCGCGCAGGTCCCTGTGCGCAAAACTGCCGCGGACTGGTTTGATGATGACGAGGATGACGAGTGGGGGCTCGCCGGCGAGGCGAGGCGGGAAGACTCTGAGAGGGGGGCGGGGAGCGCAGGTGGGAGTGGCAGCTGGGGTAGGAGTGGGAACGAGCAGCAGCGCGCGCATGGCGGGGGGAGGGGCGCAGGGGGGTTGACACGCAAGCCCGTTGACCTGGTGGGGGCGGACGAGGTTGATGATAGTAGTGAGAGCGGTTCTAGCGAGGGGGAGACGGAGGAGGAGAGGCGGCGGAGAGAGGAGGTGCTGCGCAGGCGGAGGGCGCAGGTGGAGGGGGCGCGCGGGGGACGGGGGTCTGCGCAGAGTGGCAGTGGGTGGGGTGGGGGGAAGAGTGAGGAGAGAGGGAGTGGAAAGGAGAGGGGGAGTGGTAAAGAGAGGGGGAGTGGGAAGGAGAGAGGGAGCGGGAGGGAGAGAAGGAGTGGAAGGGAAAAGGGGAGTGGGAAGGAGAGAGGAAGTGGGAGGGAGAGAGCTACAGCAAGCAAACAAGATGCGAGTGAGGCTTATGTGCAAGGGGACAGCGCCAGACGAGCAGCAGGCGCAGCAGCCGCATGGGAGAGGATTGTTGGGAAGAACTCAGGCCCTTCCCCTGCTGCACCTACTCATGCCCCTGCTGCCCCTGCTGTTTCTGCCCCTGCTGCATCTACCCCTGTCGCGTCCGCCCCTGGTACACCCACCTCAAAAGCCACCACCCCCGTGGCATCCTCAGCCCTGCCTGACTTCGACTCGCTCAGCGACACCAGCAGCAGCAACAGCGACAGCAGCCGCAGCCACGTCAGCGGCAGCAAGAGCAGTCATCAGGGCAGAGGCAACGGCAAGGGCAGGGTGTCGATGGTACCACGCTCCTTCCCCATGAGTCTGAGCACCACGGAGCACGGCTTTCTCTCCAGCCCTGAGTACGATGAAGCCCTGGGCAGTGGCCAAGCGCCCTCCATGCTCCCCAAGTCCTTCCTCCCCCCATCCCGCAGCCTCACTACTGCTGGTGAAGCCGCTGCTGCCGGTGCTTCCGGGGGCAGCAGCTGGACTTCTAGCCTCGGCGCCCCTGCGTCTGCTGCCAGCCCTGCTGGAGGCTCGGGGATAGGCTCGGGGATAGGGTCTGGTGCGGGTCTGGGGTCGTGGAAGAGCATGAAGCGCAGGCTCGGCCGGGCCACGAGCGTGGGCTCGGTGCAGACGGATATGGACGGGTGGTGGAGTGAGGATGGGTGGAGCGAGATGGGGAGGGGTGATGGGCGGGACGAGGTGGGCAGCTGGTGGGACGAGGAGAGTGTGATGAGCAGCTTCAGGGGGGAGAGGGGGGGCGGTGGAGGGGGGACAGGGGGGTGGATGCGGAGTCTGTCTCGGGGGAGCATTGGAGGGGGAGGGGAGTGGGGGGAAAGCGGGAGTGTCCCCGGCACACCATCCTCTGGGCGGCCCAAGACTGCAGACCCAGCATTCGGCCGCAGTGGGCTGGGACGCCTGAATTCCGGCGAGGGATTGGCAGCAGGGGGGGGAGTTGGGGGGGATGGCGCGGGCGCGGAAGGGGGCGGAGGGGAGGCGGACGTGAGGGCGTCGAGCTCGTTTCTGGTGAACTGGCGGCGCAAGCGGCGGCAGCTGCAGCAGGAGCAGGCACGGATGCAGGACGCTCTCGCAGCAGGGGGAGGGGTGGGCCGCCCGGAGCGAGGGTCCAGGAGGTTCGGCGCCACCGCCAAGCCTCTGGTTCGGATCCGAGGCTCGGGGGTAGGTTCGATGGGGGGGATGGACGGGGGAAAGGGGTTGGAGCGGGTGGTCGAGAGGCGTGGGGAGGGGGGTTGGTCGGAATCATGCAGCAGTGGGAGTGGTGGTGGTAGTGCCAACAGCAGTGGGCGGAGGGTGGGGGAGGCTGATAGCCAAAGCAGCAGCAGGCGAGGGAATGGTGTTGGGAGCTCTACCCTTGCTGCTCCCGGTCCCTTACGTACTGCTGCTTCTGCTGCTGCTGCTGCTGCGAGTGGTTCTGCTGCTGGTGCTGGTGGTGGTGGCAGGGGCATGGGCAGCAGTGGGGCTGCGGGGGGAAGGGCGCTGGTGAAGCATGCGAGCTGGCAGCAGGAGAGGGTGAGCAGGCAGGGCAGCCCCTGGGGGTCCAGGGGAGCAGGCGCAGGGGCAGGCGCGCTGCAGCAATCCGTGGGGCAAGGGGAGCGTGGTAACGAGAGGGGACGCGAGGGGGGCGATGCTAGGGCGAGAGGAGGAGATGGCGGTGGGAGGGGCGTGGGAGGGCGGCAGTTTGTGCGGCACTTGAGTCTGCAGGAGCGTGGCAGTGGAGGTAGTGGGGGAATGGAGGGCAGGGGTGTGGAGGGAGGAAGGCGGGCAGCAGGAGGAGGGGGAGGAGGGTGGTTGCCTGGCAGGCCTGGTTTGCCCCCTTCAGGATCAACTTCAAGCCGAAGCATTGGCAAGGCAACACTTGCTTTGAGCCCTACTGGACCCCCTCACGCTGCTACCAATGCCGCCACCACCGCTGCGGCCACCAGCGCCAGCAGCAACATCAGCTGGTCAGGGAGGGTTTTCCAGAAAAACCTGAGCCTCCCAGAGGAGAGGATCTCCCGTCGGAGCAGTGGCCACTGGGATGCCGCTGGGGGCGATTCAAACCCGAGGACCCCTCCGTTAGCCAGTCCAGCTGGCCGCTCTCCATTGGCTGGGAGGGGGGGAAGCAGGGATTGGGGGTCAGGACGAGCAGGGGCGCCTGAGGCAGCCGGGGGAGCAACAGGGGAGCGGCGGTTTGTGCGGCACCTTAGTCTGCAGGAGGAGGGGGGGGGGGCGCCATAGGAAGAGCTTCAGTCAGTGGTCCATAGGCCTGGGCCTCGCCGCTGCTGCTACTTCGCCTGCAACGCCAGGCTCGGCAGGAGGCTCGGAACGTAGGTCCGGGCTGGGTGGTTCGGAGAGGCGGTTGGCTCGGAGGATGAGTCTGGGAGGTGGGGAGGTTTTCAGTGCTAGCGAGTTGGGGATAGCCGTGGAGCGGCGGGAGGGGTGGCGCGAGGGTGTGGGGGGACTGCTGAGAAAGGTGGCAGGGGGTAGCAAGGACGAGAGCACAGCAGGTGCTGCTGCTGCTGCTGGGGCTGGTGGGAGGCGCAGTGGCGGTGTGGGGGGGCAGCAGCAGAGCAATCTGGCAGGGGGAAGTGGGGCGGAGGCAGGAGAGAGGGGCGCAGGGGGAGGAGGGGAGGCGAGGGCGGAGAGGCGGGCACGGTACGCCCTGAGGGGCGTGCAGGGCAGCCGGCTGCGGGAGCGCGCGTTCCGACAGCGATGGGGTGCCGGTGGGGCGACGCCTGTTGTGGAGGAGGGCGAGGAGGAAGGCGAGGAGAGTGAGGGGAGCGCGGCAAGCGAGGGGAGGGTGGCGGATGGGGAGGGGAGGAGAGGGCGGAGTGAGGTGGAAAGGAGGGCGGAGGGCAAAGGGGAGAGGGGGGACATTGGGGAGAGGGGGGACATTGGGGAGAGGGGGGACATTGGGGAGAGGGGGGACATTGGGGAGAGGAACGGAGAGCGGAAGAGTGAGGTGAATGGGGAGAGGAAAGGGGAGGGGAATGTGGTGGAAACGGAGGAGAACAAAGGGGAGGGAAAGGGCGACGGAAGGATGGAAGAGATGGAGGTGAAGAAGGAACAGGGGCTGCAAAGTGTCTCGGACATGAGGAGGAGGAGTTTTGGCGAGGATTCAAATGGGAGCCGTCTCTTCCATGAGAGTCGTGAACGAATGAGAGGAGGTGAAGATGCGGAAGGGACATGCCGCAAGGTAGAGCAGGAGGCGGGGAGAATGAGTGGCGGAACGAGAGAGGAGAGTGGCTGTGGCGGGGGCGAGGACAGCAGAGAGGTCCGAGGGAGGAATGAGGAGGGTGTGGGCGGAGGAGGGGAGAGGGACGGGCAGAGCACAGCTAGGGATGCTGAAGCAGGGAACGGGAGCAGTGATGGGGGCGGTGGTGGGAGTGGTGGTGGGGGCAGTGAGAGGGGACGTGAATTGCCATGGAAATCAGGCTGGCAGAAGCAGGCGGGGCAACTGATGTGGGTGTATGAGGCGCGTGGGGTAGAGAAGGAGATGGGCCATGCGGTGAGGGCGGAGGAGCAGTTTCAGAGACACATGCATGGTGAGATGCAGGGGCAGCGGAAGGAGCAGGAAAGGGAAGTGAAGGAGAAGGAGAAAGAGAGGGTGCGGGAGAGGGAGCGGGAGTGGGAGCAGGGGAGGGAGCAGGAGAGGGAGAAGGAGAAGGAGAAGGAGAAGCGGCAGGAGAGAGAAAAGGAGCAGCATGAGGTGCAGAGGAAGCATGGTCAGGGCGGGGCAGGGCAGGAGTTGGTGCATGCAGGGGGGGTTGGGAAGGAGGGCAGGGTGGTTGTGGGTGCAGGTGCAGGCAGCAGACGGCTGTTGACCCGCAGCTCCAGTGTGCCTCATCCTGCTGCCCTTGCTCTGCCCCACCCGCATCCTGCTCCTGCTGCCTCCCTTCTCTCGGACCCATCACGCTCTAGCTCACAGCATCAACAGCTCCAGTCCCCGCACCACTTACCGCAGTCCCCGAACCACCAGCACCGCCAGCCCGGTCGACCCAGAGGCCTCGTGAAGACTCTCAGCCTGCCGCCCTCTGCGCTCTCCGCTGCTGCTTCTGCCTCTGGTGTTCACACTGTTGCACCTGGAGGGCCTACTTCTCCACTGCACCTTTCCTCCCTGGCACCATGCTCCGTTCTACCCGCTCTGCACCCCTCTTCCCCCGCGCTGCGCCCCTCTTCCCCCTCACTGCGCCCCTCTTCCCCCTCACTGCGCCCCTCTTCCCCCTCACTGCACCCCTCTTCCCCCTCACTGCGCCCCTCTTCCCCCTCACTGCGCCCCTCGTCCCCCTCACTGCGCCCCTCTTCCCCCTCACTGCGCCCCTCTTCCCCCTCACTCCTCCCCTCCTCCCCCTCACTGCGCCCCTCTTCCCCCTCACTACGCCTGCGCCCCTCATCCCCCACTCCCATACCCAATGGGGGAAGTGGTGTGAGGCGGGCAGGGGCACGAGCATCTGAGCGCCCCTCAACCGCTCCATTACAGTGCTCCTCCACTGCCCCTCAGGAGCGCCCCTCAACCGCTCCATTACAGTGCTCCTCCACTGCCCCTCAGGAGCGCCCCTCAACCGCTCCATTACAGTGCTCCTCCACTGCCCCTCAGGAGCGCCCCTCCGTGACCCCAATGCAGCGCCCGTCCTCCCCTCAGCCTGCACTGCACAAGGCAGCAGGAGCAAGGGCGTCTGATCAACGCAGCACATATGCAGCCGCCCGTTCAGCCCATGCACCTGTCCCCCACCCTGTCCCCCACTATGTCACACACCCTTCCTCTGCTGCCCACCTTTCACCTTCTCTTGACTCTTCCCCTGCCCTTGACCCGTCCCTTGCCACGCCAATGGCGCAGCAGCCAATGGGCAGGGCGGGGTGTGAGATGGGTGGGGCCCTGGACGCACGCAGTGTGGGCGCGGGAGGAAGGGGGGGAGGGGCGGGCAGTGGGCGGAGCAGTGAGGAGCATGGGAGTGGCAGGTCGAGCGGGAGTGTGGGTGGGAGTGGGAGGTCAACCGGCAGTGCAGGTGGGAGTGGGAGGGCCAGCGGCAATGTGGTTCGGCGCAGGAGAGCAAGTGGGAGTGCGGAGAGCGATGCGAGTGGCGTGCTGTTGAGCGCAGATGAGGCTGAGGGTGGGGGCGCAGGTGGTACCAGAGGAGAGGAGCGGCAGCGGGAGTGGAATGCAGGGGGAGAGAAGACGAAGAAGGGGAAGGAGAGGGGGGTTGGGAAGAAGGGAGGGCAGAGGAGGAAGGTGCACGAGGAGGGGGTGGAGGAAGAGAAGGGGGAGCGGAATCCTTGGGACGGGGGCAAGGAGGAAGCGGAAGAGGTGGGGGCTGAGAGGGTGGTACGAGAAGGGGAGGAGTGTGGAGAGCACGGGGGGCAGCATAAGAAGCAAGCGAGGGGTTCAGATGGCTGTGTGCACGGTGAGGTGAGCAGGAGTGCGCACGGTGAGGTGAGCAGGAGTGCAGGGTCACCCAAGAAGATCAGACACGATGAGCAGCACACAAAGGGTCTCGAGAGGTCTGGACGCAAGGAGAGCAGCCGCCACGAGAAGGGCCGTGAGAAAGGTCATGCAGTGGAGCATGGGGAGGGGAGGGAGCAGGAGGTTCTGACCCCGAAGCATCCAGAAAAGAGTCCGAGGAAAGCAGGGAAGGCATCTAAGAGCCCGAAGGGTGCAGCAGCTGTGAAGAGCCCAAAGAGGTCCAGGAAGAGCCCGCGAGGGGTGGAGAAGAGCCCACGAGGGGTGGAGAAGAGCCCGCGAGGGGTGGAGAAGCAGCATGGAAGGCACAAGGACAAAGACGAGGAGGGATTACCTGTGGAGGTGGTGGGGGATGGCGCAGCAGTGTGTGAAGCGGTTGAGATGGGTGCAGTGGGGCATGGGGTGCAAGGGAAGGGTGGAGCGCAGGAGCATGCGAGTATTGAGGGAAAAACGATTGAAGGGAAGGAGGAGAGCGGGGCGGGGGAACGAGAGCAGAGGGACTTGGGTAAGGTGGAGGTGGAGGGTGAGAGTGGGAAGAGGGAACGGGACAAGAAGCAGCAGAAGGAGAAGCGGTGGAGGGAGAAGCGGCACAGTAGGGAGGAGAAGCGGCACAGTAGGGAGGAGAAGCGAGAGCATGGGGGTGAGATGGGGGAGGGTGAAGCGGAGAAGGGGCAGCACGGGGGGAAGAAAGAGGGGAAGCACGGGGGGAAGAAAGAGGGGAAGCACGGGGGGAAGAAAGAGGGGAAGCAAGGTAACGAGGGGCGAACGAGGGGAGAGAATGCCGGAGAGAAGGGAAGCCTTGAGGAGAAGCAAGGGGAGCATGGTGACAGGAAGGGTCATGGGAAGAAAAAAGATGGGGAGCATAGGGAAAAGAAGGGGAAGCATAGGGAGGAGAAAGGGGAGCAGAAGCAGGGGAGTGAGCATGGGGAAGCATCTTGTGAGGCTGGCGGTGGTGTCAAGGCAGAAAGGGAGGCGGGCAGGAGGGAAGGGGGAGCGAGGCGAGGGAGGGAAAAGGAGAAGCGGAGGAAGAGCAGCAGTGGGTCAGACTCCGTGCTCTCACATGCCCATGCCCCCCTGGCCTCACCCCTGGACCACTCCTTGCCTCCCACCCCTACTGCTGCTGGTGTTACTGCTGCTGCGGCTGAGGCCACGCCATGCCACACGGGTTCCAGCAGCTGTGCGTCCTCCTCAGACTTGAGTCTGGACCTGCATGCCCATCCGCACGCGCCCATGCATGCTGCCCTGCATGCGCCCCTTGATGTGGCACATCCCCTCATACACACTTCTGCTGCAGCACCCATCCATGCCACACCTCCCCCTGCGCCCGGCACTGCATGCCAAAACGGGACAGCTGGCACTCGTGATGATGGTGGCAATGGTGGCGATGGCACTGACTCGCAGCAGCACGCGCAGGCAGCTTCACACTTGGAGGAGCAGCTTGTTGATTGGAACAGCACCGCTGTTGCCGGTGCTGCTGGTGGTGCTGCCATAGTGGCTGCTGATGAGCATGGAGGTGCGTGCCTGGAAGGCAGCTCGGGAGTGCAGACATTAGGACAGCAGGGGTGGGTGCACGATGGTGGGGATGCACTGCTGTGTGGCGATGGGGAGGAGAGGGGAGATGGAGAGGAGCAAGGGGAAAGCGGGGAGGAGGAGGAGGACAAGGTGGAGGTGGAGGAGGGGGAGGTAGGGGAAGAAGGGGAGGACGTTGAAGATGGAAAGGAAGCGGAAGAGGGGGAGGAGGGGGAGGAGGAGGAGGGGGAGGAGGGCGAGGAAGTGAGGTGGGTGGAGGTGTATGGCATGGTAGCTGTGGAGGATGAGGTGCTGCTGGTGGGGGTGGAAGCACATGAGGCGAGCTGTGATGCAATTGGTGGCACTAACGAGGATGCACCCCAGGACCAGCTGACTGACCAGCAGACGCACGCAGAGCAGCAGCAGCAGCAGCAGCAGCAGCAGCAGCAGCAGCAGCAAGAGCAGGAGGAATTGGAGCAAGAGGCGCAAGAGGAGAAAGAGCCGCAGATGGGTTTCCTACGGATTGAGGGGTCTGAGCATGCTGAGGAGGGTCGAGAGAAGGAATTAGCCGCAGCAGCTGTGTGTCAAGGCTTGCATGCAGAAGCAGCCACTGTGGCAGATGATGACGTGGCAGGCGCTGGTGGGACAGGTGGTGATGTGGCAGGCGAGGCTGGTGCCATGACAGAGGCTGTGGTGGATGCAGCATCAGCAGACGCTGCAAGGAATATCAGCCGAGAGGCATCTCAGCGTGCTACCAGCCACAAGGAGAGTCGCAGCGGCAGCGAAGCAAGCAGGGAGGATGGCGAGAGTGGTTCGGAGGAGGAGCAAGGGGCTGTGAGCGCAAGCAATGAGGGCGAGGGGCAGGGCCGCAGGGCAGCGCTGCACTCACCTCTGCACCTGGGGTCGTTCAAGCTGACTGCATGGAGCCCTGGCAGTGCTGCACTCGAGGGTAGCAGAGGGGACAGCATAGGCGCTGCCATCAAGGGCACGGAGGAGCAGAGGAGCTTCCGCTTCCACCCCGCCAGCTCTCTTGTCATCCACGTGCCCCGCACCGCGTCCCCCTCGCCCCCCCCACTCCCCCGCCTCCTCCTCACCCTCCTCCTCCGCCCTTACTCCCGCTCCAGCCACCCCCACGGCCCCTCTCACGCCCTCCACGCCTCTCACCCCTTCCACCCCTCTCACCCCTCGTCGCAGCATCTTCACGCCTCGCTCGCTGCTCTCTGCGTCGCTTGGGGCGTTTACTGGTAGCGCAGGCAGTGGCAGTGGCAACGGCCTGGGAAAGGGGCGAGCAGGCAGCAGCACCGCTGGCAAGAGTCCCTTTTTCCTCTCCCACTCGTCCCAGCCACACCACCACCAGCAGCAACAGCAGAAGCACGAGCAGGAGCACAATGAGGATCAGGAACAGCATATGTATTCAGACGAGTTGCATGCGACCAATGCTCCCCCCTCCTGCTCGCCTCGCCTCGCCTTCTCCCGCCCCTCCGCCCGGCCCTCGCTCTCCGCCCTCTCCTCCTTCTCCTCCTTGCTTGCATCACCCCGCACGCCCTCAGGGGGAACTCCCAGCAGGGCTGGAGACAGCTGGTTCAGGAGCAGCAGTGCCACCAGTGCTGCCACTTCTGTCAGCGCTTCTGCTGCTGCTGCAGGTTCATCTGGCGCTGGTGCAGCAGGTGGAACTGGGGGAGGTCGTACTCGTGGCTTTGGTGGTGGCAGCTGGATTGAGGGGAGGAAACCAAGGAGCGAGCATTACTTGAAGGAGCAGCAGCAGCAGCAGAAGCAGCAGCAGAAGGAGGAAGAGGAACGGGGGAAGGTGAAGGCAAAGGCGAAGGGGAAGGGGCAGAGGCAGGGCGAGCAGCAGCGGCCGAGAACAGCCTCTGCAGCAATAGGGCGGGCAAAGGGGCGGCTGGGGCAGTCAGGGACAGCCAGCAGTGGCAGCAGCGGTAATAGTGGTGTCACAGCCACACATTCGAAGGGCAGCACTGGTGGCGTTCCTAGCCCCAAACTCCCTTTTGCCGATGATCCCATTGCTCTTGACAGTTCTTCCACCATCAGCCATGCGGCCAATCCCGTTACTCGACCGCGTGCCTCCTCTCTTGCTGCTGCGGCTGCAGCCGCTCCTGCTGCTGGCGCCTCTAGTGCTGCAGCTGCGCGTAATGCTGGTGGTGTCACTCTTCACAGTAAATCCTGTCCCAGTCCCACCTCCCCGCCCTCCATGGCCCTCCCGACCACCCCGACAAGCAGGAAGAAATACACCCTCATCGACCCTCCTGCGCACAGAAAGCGTAACGAGGCAGATAATAACGAGGACAAGAGCAGCAGCAGTGGCAGTGGCAGCGGGCAGGCACGCCGGCACTCGATGCCGTTTGACTTTGCTCCCAGTGATTCTTTACGGTCCTCTGCCTCTGATGGGGGCAGTGCAAGGGAGATAGCCAAGCAGGGCAGCAGCAAGAGCAGCAGAGAGGGTGTCAACCGGCAGTGGGAGGTGAGTGGGAGTGAAGAAGAGGCGAGTGCTAACAGCAACAGCAACAGCATCAACAGTAGGAGCAGCGGAAGCAGTAAAAACAGGATCAGTGGCACCGAGGGTGCTGGCAGCACGGCCACAGGCATCAGCAGCAGTAGCAGCAGTGCAGGAGGGCTCTCATCCACTGTGACCTCCGCCACTAGCAGCAACGCCAGCAGCAGAATCAACAGCAGCAGTGGTGGCGAGCAGGGGACGTCCAGAGGAGGCACAGGCAGCCAGGCGACTGCTAGGAAGGAGGGCAGACAGGGGCAGCAAGGAGGAATGGTAGCTGGTTCTGAGGGAGCATCAGGTGGTGCTGACGGCAAGAGTGACAGAGCAGCGGCGGCAGGAGCTAAGGGAAAACTGCCGTCATTGCTTGAGAGGCTGGTGATAGGTCGGTAGGAGTAGTGGAGTAGGAGAAGCATGATGCACGACATGCCATGACGGTGCTCTTTGCTCTTAGGGTGACGTCACTCTCATCCCTTCCATGTGGGACCTCACCTCTGAAGAGCATTAGGTGCCGTAGCTGTGTTTATCTGGTTATGTTATTGCATTGCAGTTTGTCTGACCAAAGGTGTGTTTTCTGTGCTGCTGTAGAAAGAATGGGCGATTGAACACTGTGTCACGTTCAAAGCATACCGTGCTAAGCAATTGGCTTTTCTCAAGCAATCATATCGTAATTCCTTGGATATGTACCGTACTTCCTGTTCCTGCACTGCACCCTTCTCGTCTCGGCACTTCTTGAAAAGTCTGCACACTAAACGACAAGTTCCTCACATTGGGCCATCCCTGCTAGGAAGATACGGTAGCGGTAGCAGAACACGAATTCCACTAGCAAAGAAAACAAACAAACAAGCCGTCAAACTCAACAGGCCTAGGGTTCTATGTACAGAAAACAACTTCTGCCTAGAGCCTGAGAATCCTGCAAACCACACCACTGAACCCACACCCATTCCATCCAACATGCATGCACTTCATCGTACGGTTCTCCCAGCCCACCTATGTACACGGCATGATCTCTGAACCAACTGTGCACCCTCTACCCTCATCTGTCCCTTCTTCTCTTTGTTATTGTGCTTCCCACTGGCACTCTCCTTCCTGCGGTTCGCTCACATGACGCATGGCGACTCCTCAGCTCCCTCACGGCTTCTGCATGCCTCAACAAGGTTCACACCCAATCCTCGCCTTACCCGAGCTGCTTCACAGTGTTTCCAAGCCATCAACTCCCGAACCTCTTTGTCTTGCTTAACACTTCTTCGGTACTCTGCCACTACAGTGCCACTAGTCTCCTCATCCCTGTTACACTTATCGCAAACTCCTTATGTACGATTGTTGACACCCTTCAGAAGTTTCCTAAACCCTGTACACAACCCCCATTCTTGCGCTAGATTCTAGTGCTGGCTTTGCTGCGGGCGGTGCTGCTAGCGGTGCTGTTGGCAGTGCTGCTGGTGGTACTGCTGGCGGTGCTGCTGGCGGTGCTGCTGGCGGTGCTGCTGGCGGTGCTGCTGGCGGTGCTGCTGGCGGTGCTGCTGGCGGTGCTGCTGGCGGTGCTGCTGGCGGTGCTGCTGGCAGTGCTGCTGGCGGTGCTGCTGGCGGAGCTGCTGGCGGTGCTGCTGGCGGTGCTGCTGGCGGTGCGGCTGGTGCACGGGCTGTTGATACTGCTGCAGCTGGACCTGCTTTAAGTGGTCAAGCCCCTCCCGCCCCTTCCAACTCCCAATCTCCTCTCCCCCCTCCCCTCTCCTCTCTCCCTTCCCCCCTCTCTCGACTTCCCTCTCCGGTCATCTCATCCCCACGTCTTGTCACAGTTGTGGCTGGTGTGGTGGAAGGGGCAGGCCTTGCTTCTGCTGTTGCTGCTGCCGCTATGGCCGCTTCTGCTGTTGGTGCCACTGCAGAAGCACCTGGTGTACAGGAAGTGGTAGGGATGGCAGCTGCAGCTGCTGTCACTTCTGTTCTTGGTTCTTTTGCACTTCCCGCTGCACTTGCTTCTTCTGGGGGGTCAACTTCGTCCGCTGAGTTCCTCTTGCCCGATTCTTGCGAAATCTGAAGAGAGGGTGGGAATAGAGGGAAGGGAGGAAATGACAATAAGAGAGAACTAAGTATCTTCGCACTGGCAAAAGATCACCCGGTGCTGTCAGGCTCATGCCAAGCGGTGAGGTGCTTAGTAGCGCGCGGAGGTGCGTGGCGGTGCTCAGGGCTGCGAATCGGAGAGGTGCGTGGCAGAGCGGGTCGGCGCAAGCTCACGTGCGGTGGTGCGAGCGACGCGGTGCAGGGTGGTGCGTGACGGTGCGTAGCGGCGAAAGACGGTCTGAGGCGGTGCGAGAGGTACGAGGCAGTGCGGTACATGGAGGTACGACGCGCTCCCTTACCTGGCCTCGTGTTCGTCGCATTTTCTCGGCTTCACGCAGTGCAGAGTTCAACTCCTTGTTCTGGAGCAAAGAGAAGAGTAGGAGAAACATGGGTAAAAAACACTTTGCGTTACTCGAGAATAACAAAACACAAGTCAAGGCACAAGCACCAGCCGTTTCGCATGTGTAAGAGCTCCAACCAACTCATGCTCTCATTTCTCTCACGTTTGGCAACAACGGCCGAACCACCGCATGTCCGCTCGTTTCGTCCAGTGTATTTTGTTGCCGGCCATCCAAAGAGAGGATCTCGCACGGCCATGTGCCGCAGTTGCCAAGCTTAGCCCACACTACATCCTCCACTCTGAACGGTTGAGGAGAGCGCGACATTGGCAGGGGTGAAAGTGTGATGAGGGTGGAGCGGAACGGGATCAAGCGGACCGGGAAGAGCGGAATTCCACACTAGTAAGTGCAGCTAAAATTATAGATGAAGAGGATTTAAAGCCCGCATGCAAAATAGTGACCCCCCCCTTCTAGTTGGGTCCACTTGATATATTGATTCAGAGGTTTTGTTTGTAGGGTGTAATGTGTTGCAGTTTTTCTTTTTTTCTAGATACTGAACCATCTTTTCGATTTTGATCGAGGAATCTAGTCGCAGGGTTGGGCAAATGTGTCGTAAGGGGTGCCAAAATCACGTTCATGGCACATTCACATTCGTGCCACATTCACATTCGTTCCACATTCAAATTTCCTGTTCTACGTCGTGGGAATTCCACATGCAGAGACAAACACTTGCATCGGTAGCGCCTGAGCCTTCTGCAAAAAGCGAGAGCTGTAGGAATGGGTTTGGGGTGTGAATTATGCAGAGAAAAACAAACAGGAGAAGGTGATAGATAAACAAAGTGAGTCAAGGAGTCGGAAGAGGAGAGTGAGAGGCCGACGGAAACACGGACGCGAGGGGAGAGGGAGAGAACAAGGGGCCAAAGGTTACTGGTTGGGTGATGGGAGGGGCATTGGGGAGGGGAGGGCACGAAGGCGACGGTACGGGACGGGAGGTGCGAGCGCGAAGGCGACGGGACGGGACGGGAGAACACGAGGGCAACAGGAAGGGACGGGAGGTGCGAGCGAGAAGGCGAGGAGAGACGAGAACGTGAGCACGAGGGAGATGGGAGGGGAGACCATGAGCGCGAAGGTGGTGCGAAGATGGGAGAACGTGAGCGGGATGGCGGGGGAAGGGGAGAACGTGAGCGCAATGGCGGGGGAAGGGGAGAACGTGAGCGCGATGGCGGGGGAAGGGGAGAACGTGAGCGCGATGGCGGGGGAAGGGGAAAACGTGAGCGCGATGGCGGGGGAAGGGGAGAACGTGAGCGCGATGGCGGGGGAAGGGGAGAACGTGAGCGCGATGGCGGGGGAAGGGGAGAACGTGAGCGCGATGGCGGGGGAAGGGGAGAACGTGAGCGCGATGGCGGGGGAAGGGGAGAACGTGAGCGCGATGGCGGGGGAAGGGGAGAACGTGAGCGCAATGGCGGGGGAAGGGGAGAACGTGAGCGCGATGGCGGGGGAAGGGGAGAACGTGAGCGCGATGGCGGGGGAAGGTGACAAGCACAAGCGCGGTGGCAGCTTGTGAAGGTTCTGCAAAGAGCAAGAGAGGTTAGGATTATTTGCTGCGTATGAAGACTTTGGGCCTGAGAGAGGGCGGCAAAATCGCTGAGAAAACCAATAGGAGGGAAAAAACAGAGAGAAACAATGTGAGGGAAGAGGTGAGAGAGGGCGACAGAAACAATGAGGGCTACTGGACAAGAGCCCGGTTCGAGGGCGAGATGAGAGGGGAACACGAGGGCGACGGGATGGGAGTGGAGAGATGATAGGCAACGGGAGGGCGGCTCAGAGCGAGCGCAAAGGCGACGAAGTGGGTAATGGGAGGGGAGTGAAGAAGGGAGCTGCGAGGGCGTTTCAAGGCCAGCGGCAGGGCGATGGGCGAGGAGAGTCGACTGTGCGCAACAAGAGGGCATTGCGGGCTTAGGGCGACGACGATGATGTGGGTAATAGGAGGGGAGACGTGGGAGCGACGAGAGTCCGCCTCGATTTCGAGGCGAGCGCATAGGCGACGAGGTGGGTGACGGGAGGGGAGAAAGGAAGGGCGACGAGAGGGCGTTTCAGGATGAGCGAGAATGTAACGAAGTGGGTGATGGGAGGGGAAACGGGGAGGGTACGCGAAGTGCGACGGGTAAAGGGGGGGCGAAGGTAATGGCGAGGGAAAGGCGACATGGGCTGACGGCGATGCGGAGGTTGACGATTGTGCTACTGGCGGGAAAAATAGCACTGCGCTACTAGGCTACGTAATACTAAATCACCTATTCATGCGAATAAGCGCAGTCGTCGATAATTCCGTGTCTATGACACAAGCACATATGTTTTCCGCTATACTATGCGTGTGGAAAAAGACTACAGAGTAAGGGAGTAGAAATCAGGGAGTTATGAACCCAGGACCAGCTTGATATTGAAGTTGGCCTTGCGATGGAACACATCGCAAGGACGATGGAAACCATCGCCAGGGAACGGTCGTGCAAGTGCAGGTCGCAGAAATGTGAGCGGGAAAGTCCATTCTGGCGGGAGCGACAACATCCCATTTTGGCGAGAGCCAATCACATGAGCTCACTCTGCCCGCACGTTTTGTTTCAAGCAGTGTTTTGTCAGACTTGTTTCATTCTCTCTTCGCTTCAAAAAATATTGTCGCAACACCACTTTCAAGTTGGGACGGGGGTCACTATTTTGCATGCGGGCTTTAAATCAGTCCCACGACGGGTGTTGAAGAGAAACGAAATGGTTCAGCGAACTAATTCTTGGAAGGACGAATTTGTCGAAGGCGGATATATTGTAACGACGATAGTTGCGCTTTTCCGACTGGATGTGGGCCTGGAGGGGCTCTATAAGGATTTACAAATCCTTACTGAGGCACTCGTTAGCGAGGCCATCCCGAGGGTCACGCGACGAACCTGGCCTTCCTATTTCGTCGCACCAAACCACTCCCGAGTCGGCCTCCACTCCAATCGCAACCATCACCGAGCCATCCTCGCCCAACCTCCCCGCCTAGCTAGCTTTTCCCCTATTTAGGCCTCGCTACTTCATTGTTCATTCAGTGATTCTGTAATTCTCATTCTCGATATTCGATATTCTGCGCACTCTGCAAGTTCATTCATAACAGGCTCAGATCGAACGTGGCGCGTCTGACATTCTGAGCTTTTCTTCACCATACCGTTTCGCAAAACGAAGGGAAGTGATGTGATTTGCTAGCGGGTTCGCGAAATCTGGCATTCTGTATGTTTCTAACGAGTACCTGAACTGCTGAACCAGAGCTGGTACACCGAACCCAACAAGCGCGAAATTTACAAACAAGCAAATCTTCACTGGAAAAAAATACATGTTTTGTACAATACTGATAAGTGGGACCTAGCAAACTTGGAGTGATTCTCAGGAATCATTGACTTGACCACCAAAAGATTATTACAAGTGTGGTTATAAAAAATTATGACTGAAAACTACAGTCCCCATTGTTCTTCCATATTTGTCGCCAAAATCAGGCGTCATGGGATCAAATTACAAGGCATACACCTCAGCTCCTGCAGCCCTCTATAATCGGCTTTCCTCCCCATGTAGTATTCCTTGCCTTCCATCATTCTCCACTTGCCTCCAGCGATTTTGCAGCCGGCATGATGCCATGCCACACAATGGCACACCATACTTTGCCACACCATGCCATGGCATCACACACCGTATCATGGCACACCTGGCATGCCACACAATGGCAAACCATACCATCCCACAGCATGGAATGTCAACCCATACCATCCCACAACATAGCAGAACCCAAACCTTGGCATGGGACGCCACACTATGCCATGCCACACCATGACATGGCACACTAAGACATGCCACACTATGACATGGCACACTAAGACATGCCACACTATGACATGGCACACTATGACAGAGCAAACCATGACATAGCACACTACGACAATCATACACCATATAATAGCATACCTCACAAATACATACCACACGGTAACATCACACAATAACAAACCACATAGTAAAATACCACACAATAACATACCACAGTAACATACCTAACATACCACAGTAACATACCCCCACCACAACTTACCAACGTGTCAGACAGTGACATGCCAGACAATGACACATGACCACAATACTACCACATACCACACGATTATGCCAGACTGTAATGTACAACAGTACCACATAGCACACTATGGGATCCATAGTAGTAACATGCCGTAGTAAGCTGCCATGCCCTTTCTTACATTCCAGATTGCGGCATGCCACGATGTTGGATACCACACCATGATATGCCAGTGCCCCATACCACACTATCACACATCACAGTGCCACGCTGCACACCATCACATGCCATACTATCACAGACGACATTATCACACACCTCACTATCATATGCCACGCTATCATACAGCACACCATCATACACCACACCATCATACACCAGACTATCATACACCACTGTATCATACACCACACTATCATACACCACACTATCATACACCACACTATCATACACCACACTATCATACACCACACTATCATAAACCACACCATCATACACCACACTATCATACACCACACTATCATACACCACACTATCATACACCACACAGTACCATACCACAGAGTAACATGCCACACAGTAACATGCCACACAGTAACAAACCCCTCCCCACCTTCACTGCCCCACACCACTTCACACCAAACACCCACCACAACTTACCAGCCCATCCCACAGCAGAAGGAGCAGCAGACAGCCCACTCCCTTGTGGAAACAACACCCCAGTGGCTATGGCTTGCGAGGGAGGGGTGGCAGTGGAAAAGCATGGTCTGGCCCAACACTCAAATCCCACCCCTCACGTAGCTACAGCTGACGCCAACCAGAGCCGCCGGCCGGTCGGCTCTGACGGTGTCCATTAAGCTTTGAACGCCAGATCGGTTACTTGAGCACCAAGTGCCGCCGCCGCGCAGATTCCACCCACCACACCCCACCCACAAGCCACAACCCCAGAGGGTGCCGCCCCTGAGAGAGTGTGCTGCCCGCTTGCTCCCATGCTGCCCCTCCACCCGCCCACCTCCCCCCCTCCCTTCACCCCATGTCTGCTTACCTCTACTTACCTGTACTGTACCTACCAGAGCCGTGCAGTGCCATGATGCCTGAGGCTGCTGGGAAGTGGGGAGGGGGGGATTAAGGGAGGGTGGGACTCCACTGTGGTCCAGCCAGGGTGCTGTTGGGTGGGAGGGAGGAGAGAGAGAGAAGAGGAGGAGAGTGAGAGGGTTGACTCCACACTCCGCCCTTGCTCCAGTGCTCCCACCCTCAGGCTGTGGGAGAGATGGGGAGAGAAAGAAAGGAGGGGATCAGAATACCTGACCTGTAACCATTCCTCACCTGTTACTACACCTTGCATACCATGACTCGACCTAGCCTATCCTGTCCCCCTAGCCCCCCAACCCCCTTCTGCTGCTACCGCTGCTGCTGCTCCGCTTCTGCTGCTGCAACTGCTGCTGCCGGTCTGCTTCTCAGCTGCATTCTTCGATAGTGATGCCATGTGACCTGGTGGCGGGCAGAAAGGAGGAGAGAGACGCAAAAAGTGAGGTGTGGCGTGACAAGAGCTGTGGTGCGTTTCGGAATGCACAAAGAATGAACCAGGAAGATGTAGAAATGACAAGTCAGAAGCGTTGATGCTAAGAATGAAGAGAAACATGCAGCAGAAAACGAACTTGAGGGAGTTGGAGGGTAAGAAGGTTGACATACCTTGAGAGGCCGAGCCCACCCCGATACTCTCCCTTGTGGAGCGATTGCCATCTGCTGCAGTGCTGCCTCCCTCCCGTCCCCACGAGTCCCTGCATGGCCACCGGGGAGAGGCGTGGGGAAGTGTCGGTGTTGACCCCATCGCCCCTCCCCTCCACCTGCAACGCACACACACGGCAATGGTCAGTGTGGATGAAATGGGTGCAAGCACAAGTCACAAACTGAAAACTGCCAAAACTGGAAGGGAAGGGAGGGCCACGGGTTGAGGAAATGCCACACGCCACAGACACCAAGGGAACCTGCACCTGAGAGGGTTACCTGCACACCTGAGAGGGTTACCTGCACACCTGAGAGGGTTACCTGCACACCTGAGAGGGTTACCTGCACACCTGAGAGGGTTACCTGCACACCTGAGAGGGTTACCTGCATACCTGAGGGGGTTACCTGAAGTGCTTGTGTCTGTGGCTTGTGAACTTCACTCAACCAGTGGCATGATTTAAAAGGGAAGGGCGAAAGCACGACCAGAAAATGAAATGGCGGCAAGAAATGTACAAGGCATGCAGCAGGCAAGCGTGAGGGAATGGAGGAAAGTTACTTAACTGACGGTGAGGGCGAGATCAAGGCAGCTGCAGCACCTCCAGCTGCCTCCCTCAATGGCAGCCCTCCTCCCCGCCTTCCCGTGCGCGTCCCTGCACGGCCACAGGGGAGGGGCGTGAGGGAGCGTCGGTGTAGACCCCACACCCCTCCCCGCCACCTGCAATGCGCACACACAGAGCTAGTGAGAGCACGGTGGTGGGAGCAAGGTGAATGGGTGAATGAGCACACAGCGCAAGAGAAGAGGGAGGAGCCACTGGTGGAGGCACGGCCACAAGCTACACACCCAAGGGCACCTGAAAAAGAACCTGAGGGGTGTACCTGCACCTGAGAGGGTTACCTGCACCTGAGGGAATTACCTGAAGAAGGGAGGTCTGTAGCATGCGAGCAGAGCCCAACCAGTGGCGTTGTTTCAAGAGGACGGTGCAATTGCAGATGGAATGAAGGAACCGGTGTGGCAGGCAAGGGTGAGGGCATGGAGGAGCGGGTACTTTGCTGATGGCGTGAGAGCAGGAGGCAGTTGAAACAGCGTGGGCAGCAGGCATGGCATGGCGTCTCAGGCGACCAGCAGCGCTGCTCTTGAGCTCCTGCGAGGGGGTGGTGGAAGGGATGGAAAGGGAGAGGAAGGGAGGGGAGGGGGGCGGGAGGGGAGGGGAGGGAGAGGCAGTGAGTGGGAGAGTCACCATTATGGAAGGGGCGCATGCATGCAAGTGTGATGAAATAAAGAAGAGCGAAAGGAGGGCCACTGGTGGACGCACACTCACAAGCCACAGACTACGGTCTTTACCTGGAAAACGGCTTTACCTGGGGGAGGGCTTTACCAGTAATGGGGAGGGTCTGTGGGCTGTTTCGTGTGCTGCCACCAGTGGTTCCGTTTTGGGAGAAACAGAAATGACAGACAATCGAAGCGAGAATGGATGCATGGAGGAGCGAGCACTTAGCTGATTATGTGGTGGTTGTGTGCAGAGGGCAGGTGAAGGATGTGCCGGCACCACCAGGTGTTGTCTGCTGCCGCCAGTGGCTTGAGGCATGAGGAGAACGCTGATGCTGCCCCACGTCCGTCCGCCTGCCACTGCTCCTCGCGATGAGGCCTGGAAGCGGGGGAGGGGAAGGGAGGGGAGGGGAGGAGGAGGGGAGGGGGAGGAGAGGGTTGCACAAGGAGAGGCAGTGAGTGGGATGCAATGGAGGCACAGTGCGAAAGAGAATGGATGCACGCGCGGTAGAATTGAAAAAGAGCGAAAGGAGGGCCATTGGTGGACGCACACTCACAAACCACAGACTACGGTCTTTACCAAAGGTTTTACCTGGAAAAGGCTTTACCTAAGGGAGGGCTTTACCAGTAATGGGGAGGGTCTATGGGCTGTTTCGTGTGCTGCCACCAGTGGCCCCTTTTTGGGAGAAACCGGAATGACAAGAAAACGAACCGAGGGCTGACATGGGACGTGAGCACTTAGCTGATGACTGGTCGTCGCTGCAGGCAACAGGTGAACCCTGGGAGCCATGTACGTTGTCACCACTGCGCGTTTCTGCCATCGTGTGTTCGTCTCAGCATGGCTGACGTGCTGCCGGACCTGAAAAGTCAACAGCATAGGCATCTGTGAGATTTGATTACTTGAAACGTGTTTTATTTATGATGAACGCGCTTAAAAACGGAAAGCCATTGTGAGTTCTCGATTGTACCTTGAACCGCGAGCGGAATCGCGACCTCGCAGTGTCTGGTGCGCTTGAACCCGTCGCGAATGCAGCGGACGACGTAGATTAGTCAGCTGTGGCGGAAGTCGACGTTGGATGGCGGACGTTGACAGGTTTTCGGATGCTCATCTGCCTGTAAACACATTGAAATAAAGAAGAATCAGAAATTGATCGAAATATGCAACAAAAGGTGGCTAAAACATTAAAGACATTACCTTTTCCGCGAGAGCATGTCGTGGTATTGTGCAATTTCGGCGTTTCAACGAAGATGCTATTTGAGGTTGGAAGTAGACTAGCTACAGCAGACATTGATAGCGGACTGACGATGTTCCATTGCCTGCGGGAGAATAATACGCACGTAAGAAATTGGCAAAAACGACGTCAAATAGACAGAAACGGCGAGCTGAAATAAAGCAGAATAATAAATTACCTGTGTCAGATTACATCGAAGCTGCGCGAAACCACCAGCGAGTCTACGGAAAAAACCTCCTGATGCGCGTGAGGCTTGTCGCTAATCGCGTGTGTAAACGAGCTGAGACAGTTGCACGGTCGAAGTGGCAATGTGCTTCATCTACGACTACGTTTGAGCACAATGTTCAAATGAATGTGCGAACGTCTAAACTGACTGGTCGAAATGTCGCTCTGTGAAACCCCTGCTTGAAACGTCGCTTCGAAAAGCCCTCGGTTGGATCGTCGTTTCACGAAAATGCCCGGCGAGATTGAAAATCCACAGCCAACCCCAAGCAAGTGAGGGGGGCTGGGGGTGTAGGACTCGATTCTCGTGATTCGCTGGAAGGCTACCGAAAGAAGACAAAACATGAAGGGTCCTCCTTGGTTTAGGCCGCGCGGCTCCGAAAGGGTTCGGACATTGGGGTTCGGTTTCTGGAGGGATGGCCGTTGGCAGCACAAAAGAAGGACTGATGAGCTAGATCATCGGATTGCTTTTCTTATAAAACAGATCTAGGGATCAGATTGATCGAGTGGACGTTGTAGACTAGCGGGAAAAGCAAACCGTTAATTCGAAACAAAACACACCGACTCGCTTGGGTTTCGCGGCAGGTGCCTAGCCAATGGAATGAGAGAAAGGCCAGCCGTTGGGAGGAAATGGTGTGGGATGGAGTTGGGGTTGGATGGGCTTCCCTGCTCTCTCTGCCTCGCGGGGAGAACCAAGCTGGTTGGAGTCAGGGCATGGAAAGGAAGGCCTGTTGAAGATTAGCGAAATGTTTTAACGAACCTGCTCGCTAGAGTGGAAGAATTGGGCGAAGCTGGCGAAGTCTTGTGGGTTGTAACGGATCTGTAGCCCTTTCATGCTGGATTTCGAAACTGGATTCCACGCATCTTATCAGACGTGGATTGTCTGATCTGGCCCACTTCAATATCTACACCGCTTGGCTTTTCACAGCAAAGGGAACCATCTGATTTGTGAAATGATTTGGAAGGCTGTGACTCGAGGAAACCCCTTGCGGGTACAGGCCATGGCTCCGCAATCTGTGCCATTTTCGAGGGACCAGCTCAGCACCACGGAATGCTGGGATTGGTGAACTTCTAGAGTGGGGCTGGGCTTCGGAATTACGCGGCACGCAATATTCATTTGCTTGGGACCGAATCAGGAATTTCACTTACCGATCGTTACCGATCGAAATCAGTTTAAAACGTTCAACAACCATCTGATCTCACATGTTCCTCAGACAGCCCCCTCCTACCTTCCCTTTAGGACGCGCTGAAAGTGCAAATATCGCAGGATCGTCTGCATATATCGATCCCCACAATCGAGTGGGCAGATCGTTTGGCGTAACGTGGCGACCGCGACGTCGTAACGATCGCGGCTGAAATTTGACAGATTTCCCGCGAGCAGTGATCAGTCGCATTCTCACACTGTACAGAAATTTTGGACAGAAAGCGTAGCAGTGATCAGTCGCATTCTCACACTGTAGCATAGTTACAACAAAGTTAATAGGGTAACCAATCCGCACAGCGATCGCTACTGACGATCGATCGTCTACTTTCAACGTGTCCTTACCAATACAGCAAGACATGCCAATCCAGGATTTCCTGAGTGCAATGTCTGCTTTGCATGAGCTTCCGTCTTGTGTGTTCAGGATAAACAACTCATTCAGAACGCTGTAGTTTTGATTCTGGTGGCGTTTCCGCATGCATCCTTGATCCCGTACTAGTTGGAAGATGACTGAGGCTAAGGTTACCGACTCTGAGCGAGTTGAGAAGGATAATGCTAGCAACGGAGTCACTCAAGCTGAGGCTGCGAAAACTGGAGAAGCTGAAGAAACCGCTTCTGTCAAGAAACCCGGATCATCCACGGATGCTAGTGAGGAGAGTGCGAAGAAGAAGCCATCGTCGGATCCCTTGACATCTGGTCCGCTGATGCTTATCGCGGTGCTTCTACCGGTGGTGCTGGCAGCGGGGGTGTTGATCCAACAACGGTCAACTGCAGCCGACCTCGCCCAGATGCAAACAGCCGCTCTCAGCTGGCTCGACTTCGGCGCCTTCACTGCGAAAAAGGTACGCGCAATGGAACTCGTCGTGACACGACTCATTAGCGAAAAAGCAAGTCGCGACGCACTTCGGATATTAAACATGCGCTGAATCAAACAAATGCGAGTCAACTCAGTCACTTCGTCGCGTTATTACCTCCCGTCATCCCGCTTCCAGCCTTGGAAACACTCGTCCCACCAAGCCTGCTCCACACGTCCCTGTTCCCACTTCCCCCCTCCCTGACACGCACACGGCCAGCCGGTGCCAGCGGGCGAGCAGCGCATCATTCAGCTGTCGGCGTGGAAGCCGCGCGCGTATCTGTACAAGGGCTTTCTGTCGGACGCCGAGTGCGACCACCTCATCCGCCTCGCGCAGCCGCGCCTAGAACGGTGAGTGCCGCTGCCTGGCTGTAACTTAAAGTAACGCCAGTTGCGATAGTAGAGTTGAGGACATGTCATTAGCTTTTCGGAGCCTTTCCGCCTCCGTCTACGGGAAGAGCATATGTTGCTCGTCATGGTCGTGTGCGATATTAAGCAATCATTCTCATGTGCAGCTGAATCGCATGGGTTGCATGCATGGCATGTGCGTTGCCTGAATATGCCATGTACGGGATGTGTGTGATGATATGTGTACTTCATGCCCCAACCTACGACGCATGCTGCATATGTGGTGCGTGTCGCATTGCGCGGCATATGGCACGTATGCTATGTGTGGGATGTGTGACATGTGTGGCACGGGTGGCATGGGGGAGCAGGTCGGAGGTGACGGACAGCGAGGACGGGCACAGCGAGGTGAGCGAGGTGCGCACGAGCAGCGGCATGTTCCTGGACAAGGGCGAGGACGCCGTGGTGCGAGCCATCGAGGACCGCATCAGCCTCTGGACCTTCCTGCCCCTCGAGAACCAGGAGTCACTGCAGGTCAGCATGCCTTGCACTTCCTCTCCCCCTTTCCCAACCCCGTCTCCTTTGCCCCTGCTGCGTGACCCACCCTTCGCCATCCACACCTTTGTAAGTGTTGATCTCTGCAACTGTAAGTGCAGCTCAGCAAGTATAGAAAGCCCGTTCGCCTCCCTCCTCCACGCCATGAATCCCCGCTTGCATCCTTCCCACTGATCCAACTCTTCCACCAGATCCTGCGGTATGGCGTGGGGCAGCAGTACGAGGCGCACCACGACTACTTTGACGACCCGGTCAACACGCAGCAGGGCGGGCACCGCTACGCCACGGTGCTCATGTACCTCAACAACGTCACTCGCGGGGGCGAGACCACGTTTCCCGAGCACAAGGACCCCACGCCCAAGGACGACTCCTGGACCGACTGCGCCAAGGGCGTGCTGGCAGGTGAGGGCCTGACCCCTGGGGAGGTGCGGGGGTTTGGTAGTACAGCACAGGGAATGGTCGCACCTAAGAACACGCAGCAGGGCAGGCATTGCTACGCCACGGTGCTCATGTACCTTAATAACATATCACGGGGGGGAAAGACCACGCCCCGTTCCCGGAGCACAAGGACCCCACGCCCAAGGACGACTCCTGGACGGACTGCGCCAAGGGCGTGCTGGCAGGTGATGGGCTGCCCACTGGAAAGGTGCATTGGGGGAAGGGAGGGGTGGTAAAGCAGGTAAGGGCGGCACAGGAATGGACGCTGAGATGCAGTTTAAGCACCTTAGGAGACCTTGGGGAGGGAGTGTGGCAGTTGCTCTGAGAAGCAGCACTCCAGCATGCTCTCCATATCAAATACCCGCATTCTTTCCCTTGTCTTCCCCACTCCTCCTGTTCCCTACGTGTGTGGGCGTGGCCGTGCAGTGAAGCCGGTGCGGAGCGACGCGCTGCTGTTCTACAACCTGCATCCGGACGGGTCAGTGAACCCATGTTCTTTGGACCGCACTGAACTCCTGCATTCTTTTTCCTTTTCTTCCCCACTTGTGCAGTGAAGCCGGTGCGGGGCGACGCGCTGCTGTTCTACAACCTGCATCCGGATGGCTCAGTGGACCCCAGCAGTCTGCACCACGCGTGCCCCGTGGTTGAGGGGCAGAAGTGGTCTGCGCCCAAGTGGATCCACGCCCGCTCCTACGACTCCCCTGCACCCGGCTTCCAGACGGGAGGCCTCTGTGTCGACGCTAACGGCCTGTGAGTCTTGAGTTGATGCGAAAGTCACCCCTGCTGACCCCTCTCAGCAAAGGCACCTCTGAGAGTGTTCGCTTTAACGGCCTGTGAGTTGTTCAGTCACGTGCTCCACCTTCCTTCCGAATTATCGTCACCCCTTACCTATCTTCCTTTCGGCATTCTCAACTTTCTCATCTCCCCATCCCCGGCCCATCTCTCATTTGATGTATTTTGACTTCTCTTCGTCCAACCACGTTTTCTCGTGCTCTTGTTCCGCACGTGCCTCCTCGTTCACCCCTGCTGCATGAGTACAGGTGTGATGCGTGGGCAGCCACGGGTGAGTGCGAGAGGAACCGGCCTTACATGATTGGCACAGCTGCCAACCCCGGTGCCTGCCGCAAGGCATGTAATGCATGTGAGGACGTCACTGCTGAGTATAGTGAAGATGACTATGGCGAGGACACAGAGGCGAAATCTGGAGTTGAGGGGAAAGAGGGTGACAGTGTAAGCGCAGGCGATGCAGTGCAGTCATCATGAGGCGATGGAAGAGGAGTACTGTAAGAACTGCTCGCCGGGTTGGTGCCGAATGGCAACCCAGGTTGCTGCCAGTGAATTCACTGTAGAATGGTGGGCTTTATGTCACAGTGGGCTGTCCATGCTATTGTGTCGTGCAAACTATGTCCGAAAATGTAGTGAGTTATGCATGCTGAATGGAAGATGAATGAGTACTTGTCGTGCTCGCCTCTGTACAGCTGAATTAATTCTGGATGTTGGTGCAGCTCAGGCCCTACGATATCAGGAATTTTTCCCTGAAATTCCTGATTTTCAGGGATTTTTTGGTACCTACACTGATTTTTCAGTGTTGAGAATTTTGTGACACTGATTTTTCAGCCTTTATTTCATAGTTGACACTGATTTTTCAGTCTTTTATCGAAGTGTACACTGAATGCACATTCCGAATCCTTCCTGTCAACCAACATTTTCAGGTTTTTAAGGTACGAAAACGTAAAAGATTGACAGTTTAGAGGATCAACTGTCTCAGTGGTTAGTGATTTTCCACCGACAGGTGAGGGCCCGATTCGAACCCTTCAGCTGACATGATTCGTCAAGACTATACTAGTACACATGGTTTTCATCTGCTTGAAAATTCAGGCTTTGATTTTTAGGAACCCTGAAAATTCAGGGTTTTTTTTTTTAGGAACACTGAAAATCAGGGTTTTGTTCACAGGGATCCTGATGCATCAACGTCCCTCAAAGTGAATCTGAGGGCCTGGTGCAGCTAGTCCGCATGAGCCTTGTGCTTGTTTGCCCCTTCCATATCCGTTGCTTGGAGCGGTGAGTCTAATATTTTTTCCGCTGAAGATGCTGAGTGAGTAATTCTAACATGCTGGCCTATAACTAGTGGGCTTCCTTCCATGGAGGTGAGACTAATTACAGACGTTTAGCACATGTTACGAGTGCAATTGAGTGAACGAACGAGAATTGCACTATCGAAGCAAAAGTACAATGAGCGAAGGCATGAGCGAAGGATTATATAGCGAAACAATAGTGGTAACGGTAATGGACTGTGGTTGTCGCGCGACGAGCCTGGGACTGAGGTTGGGAAAGTGTTGAAGCGTAGGCCCGGAGCGCGGGTTACCAGCCGAGCCGTGAGGTCGGGATGCGATGTGCGAAAAGGGCGGGATAATGAATGATGCGATGGTCGCGAGTGGTAACGGTGCTGACTGAGGTGCTACAGTGACGTACGCGCTGGGCAGGGACGCGAAGTAAGGAAAAGGGAATTTCCTTACACTACCCCCCTCCCCAAGGAGGCCCCTCTTACGAGAGCGCATGGACGTCGCGGAAATTTCGGCTTCGCAGATACTCGGTGAAGACAGGGTGGTTCTCAATTTTATCCAGGGGGACCCAATTGTCTTCTGTGGGCGTTCGGTCCTTCCAGCGAATTAGGAACTCGATCCTTCGGGCTCCCCGAGGGTCGCGGACTCGGTGGCTGAGGATTTTTTCAGGGGTGATGAGTGGTTCGGTTGGGGGACGTGTCATGCTGGCTGGGCGATTTCGTGGCAGTTGGCTCGTGGATGGGATGTAAGGGCGAAGTAGGCTGACGTGGAATGACGGGCTGACATACCAGTCAGCAGGGAGGAGGAGGTGGGCGGTGACGGGTGTGATCATGTGGCTGATGCGAAATGGCCCACAATATCGGGGGCGAAGTTTTGGAGTGATGGGCAGGCGAAGGTTTCTGAGTGTCGAGTAAAACGAGGTCATCGGGCTGATAAGTAACGGGTCTGCGATGTCGATCGGCGTTGCGTTTAGCGATGATGTTTGATTTTTTTATTGCTTCTGCTGCCCTGGTCCGTGCTGCTTGCAGAATCTCGGCGAACTGTTGTGCTCGTGGGACGGGGTTGTCGGGATTCGGTGTCATGGGTACTGTTGGGTCCTGTCCGTAATTTAAATAAAACGGACACTGTTGCGTCGTGGCTGATGGTGCGTTATTGTATGCGAACTCGATGAGTGGCAGCTGCTGTTCCCTCGTATTCGGGTCGTCGCACGTGGCTCGTATCAGCTGCTCCATGGTCTGATTTGTCCGTTCCGTCTGTCCGTCGGTTTCGGGGTGATAGGATGAACTGAACTGTAAGCGCGTGCCGAACTGCTGCCACAGGTTCCGCCAGAAGTTGCTGGTAAATTTCGTGTCCTTGTCGCTGATGATCGACGCGGGTATCCCGTGCAGTCGTACGACGGTGGAGATGAAGAGTCGGGCGGTTTCTTCGGCTGTGATGGATTTCCTGCATGCTGCGAAATGAGCCATTTTCGTTAGTCGATCAATGACGACCAGGATCGCGTCATTCCCACTCGCCCCAGCTGGTAACCCCGTGACGAAGTCCATCGTCACCTGCTGCCAAGCACGCTCTGGAGGCGGGATGGGTTGTAATTGTCCCGCTGGTCGCTTCCTGCTTGACTTCATGAGCTGGCAAGTGGGACACGATGCCACGTGTCGTTGCACATCGGTCAACATTTCTGGCCAGTAGTAGTACCGCTGCAGCTGCTGCCGTGTTATTTCTACCCCGAAATGTCACGAGGTAACTCCGTCGTGTGCTTCCTGTAACAGTAGTTCCCGCAGTAGTGTGTATCCCGGTACCCAGATGCGCTCGGTTCCAGTTTTTACGTAATAGACTCCTTTTGCCGCTGCGAATTGCTGTGAGTTGCCTCCTGTAAAGAACGGGTCTGTTTGATATCCGTGGATAACTAGGCCTGTCAGCAGTGGGCTGGTCTGGGCGAGTAGTATTGCGTGAATCTGGGCAGTGGGGCGGGTCAGTGCGTCGGCGATATTCGATGCTCCTTTTTTGTATGTGACTGTATAGTGAAAATTCGACTCGAGGAAATCGAGCCATCGAATCTGTCGTGGGTTGAGGTGGGGCTGTGCGCGGAGGTACTATAGAGATCGGTGGTCTGTCCGTACTGTCACGTCTGCGCCGGTCAAGTAGCAGCGCCAAACTTTGAATGCATGCACGATCGCGAGCATTTCGCGGTCGTGTATCGGGTAATTTCGCTCAGGCGGATGTAGTTTGCGTGATTCGTAGGCGATGGGTTGGAGGCCGTTGCCGAAGTCCTGTAACAGTACAGCTCCGATGGCGATGTCACTTGCGTCGGTAACCACTTCGAAAGGGCGGTGGGGATCAGCGATGCGTAGGACGGGTGGTGAACAGAGAACGTTTTTTAGGGCAGAGAAGGCAGCATGCTCTTTCTCCCCCCACGTAAAAGCGACCCCCTTACGCAGTAAATCAGTTAGTGGGGCTGTTAAACGTGCCATGTCGGGCACGAACCGTCGAACGTAATTAACAAACCCTAAAAAACTCTGCAGTTCCGTGATGTTCGTCGGGGGGCGCCACGCTTTTACCGTGTCCAGCTTCTTTGGGTCAATCTCAACCCCAACCTCTGAAATGACGTGACCTAAAAACTCTAGCCTATCCCTAAAAAACTCGCACTTGGAGCCCTTGGTGAGCAGCCGATGTTCCTCTAAAACCTTAAAAACTGCTTCAAGATCTGCTAAGTGTTGCTGCTTATCCCGACTGTAAACGAGGATATCGTCGAGGTAAACGATCACGCATTTATCTAAAAGTGGCCTAAATGCCTCGTTCATGGTCATCTGAAAAGTCGCAGGCGCGTTCGTCAACCCGAAGGGCATTACTGTATACTCGAATGACCCGTACCTAGTCCTAAATGCTGTTTTTGCGCAGTCCGATGGTTCGACCCGAATCTGATGGTAACCTCCCCGTAAATCTATTTTCGAAAAGACACGTGCTGTTCGCAGTTGGTCAATCAGTTCGTCGGCGCGGGGGATGGGGTATCGCGATTTTACTGTTACCCTGTTAAGCGCTCGATAGTCGATGCACATGCGAAAACCTCCGTCTTTTTTCGGTGTGAACAGTATGGGTGCGGCGAACGGTGACGAGCTCGGTCGAATAAACTGCTTTTCTAACAGGTAATCTAACTGCTTCCTTAACTCGTCGAGCTCGGGCTGTGTCAGTCGAAATTGCCGCTGTATGGTTGGCTGTGCACCCGGTTCTAACTCGATCCTATGGTCGTGCGCTCGCTGAGGTGGCAATCCCTGTGGTAAATCATCCGGAAATATCCCCGGGAACCGTTTCAGTAGTGCCTGTAATTCGGTCGGTACGGCTGCTAGTAGTTTCTCTAAATCACTCTGCTGCTCGTTTTTTTCTACCACTGCGATATCCACTGCGTACACGTCAGCTCCAGCAGCGACAGCCCGTTTCATCGTGATGGCGTTGACCTGGACTGTCGAAGATTCGGGTGGCCGCGATCGAGGTAGGACGACCCTGTTACCACTACTTCGCACTGTGCAGCTCCCCGTCGTCCAGTCGATCCGTGGGTTGTACCGTCGCAGCCAATCACGTCCCAGTAAAATGTCGTGCCCATCCAGCGTCGTTGCGAGCATTTCCTGTGTAAACCCGAAGTTTCCCCCGCAGCGGACTTTTACTCGCTCCACTTTTTCTCGTATGGCCAATGGCGTGCCGTCGACTAAGCGTGCATCTATCTCAGGTAAACATCGGTTAAGTGTTAACTGTAATTTCCGTGCGGTTGCAGTATTAACTAAGCTGTGACTTGCTCCTCCGTCAATGAAGATTTTCACTGCTGCTCCCTGTATTTTCCCGTAGATCAGTACCGGGCAATCCGTCGCTGTACCCTCCTTATTCATCCGAGCCCGATCGATGGCGTGAATCGGTACTGTGACTCGGTGAGGGTCGGTGTGGTTGGGCGAGCAGGCAGTCTCGTCAGTAGTTGGCCCAACTTCTACTGACTGCTGGCGTTTCCCTGCCTCTGAGACTCCCTCCCCTGCTCTGCTCCTCGACGTCTCAGCTCCTCTGGACATTCGCTCTTGCGATGGCCCGGCCGGTTGCAAGCAAAGCAGCGCCCTCTAAATGGCGTGGCAGCTGCATTCGTTGCGACGGCATGTACAGTGGCGTGCTCGATCGGTCCCCGAGGGCGATGTCCGAAATAGGACCCCGGTCTCGGTCGGCGTAGGATATCGATTTTCTCGGCGAGCGCGAGGATTTCGTTGAAATTCGATAGCTCGCGTAGCATTATCTTGTGCGATATGTCCGGCTTCAGCCCTCCGACGTAACGGTCCACCCGCTCCGCCTCGTGCATGTAGCCGACCTGTTCGCAAAGTGCGAGAAAACCGCTGGTGTAGTCTTGAACCGACCCGAGCTGGCGCCAAGTGCGCAGTTTCTGACGCGCTGAAATCGAAGCCGCGATCGGCTCAAAACGCGCCCGAAGCCCTGCGCACCACGCATCCCACGTGCTGTATTGGGCTGTTTCGCAGAACGAACTCCAGGTGACAGCTGGACCCGAGGGCCCTTCCTCGTGCGACGGTGGCTCGTAGGCGCGTGGCGACGTCACGATGACTCGCCACCAGTCCATGGCGGGGCCCCTGAGTAGTGAAACCGCATACCGAATCTTGGCGGCGTCCGCCTCGACGTAGTTGGCGTCGAAAAACACATTCATCGTGAAGACCCACGATTGAACTGTCGGGCCGCCGCGTTGGCTTGGGTCGAAGCAGGGCGGGCGTTGCGGCTTGAGTGGCATTGGGGCCATCATGGCGTTTTCACCACTTGTCGCCGCAAACTCCACGTGCCGACGGGCTTCTCGGGGCTCCCGTGGGCTTAGCGTGCTCCTGTTCCCTCCCATGCCGGGCATCGGTTGGGCTGCGCCGTCACTGGATGCGCCTGAGCGCTGTCCCGTGCTGTTGTGTTGCGTTGGTGTGCCGGATGAGATGACAATCGGCTCCTCCGAATGTACAGAAACATTGGTTGGTGCGTGGGATGTCGTCGGAACATTCACCGTTGACTGTTGACGGGCGGAGTCACGTTCCGCCGTGAGCGTCGCGATTTCAAGCGCCGAATTCTCCAATTGTCGCACGAGACGATCGAGTTGCTCCTGCGTCAACGTGGCGAGATTGAGGTCGGCCATGGCGGGGGTGTCGGGCAAGCTCAGCGAGAGCCTCGGTCGTGGCCGTGCGTGCTTGCGAGAGAGCACTACGAGCGGCGGTGCTGTGTCGCTGAGAGACGTCTACCCCCCCCCCAAAAATTGAGATAGTGGGAAGCGAAGGTGTGGATGCGGTCCGAGATGAGATCGTAGGCTATGAATACCAAGTGTTACGAGTGCAATTGAGTGAACGAACGAGAATTGCACTATCGAAGCAAAAGTACAATGAGCGAAGGCATGAGCGAAGGATTATATAGCGAAACAATAGTGGTAACGGTAATGGACTGTGGTTGTCGCGCGACGAGCCTGGGACTGAGGTTGGGAAAGTGTCGAAGCGTAGGCCCGGAGCGCGGGTTACCAGCCGAGCCGTGAGGTCGGGATGCGATGTGCGAAAAGGGCGGGATAATGAATGATGCGATGGTCGCGAGTGGTAACGGTGCTGACTGAGGTGCTACAGTGACGTACGCGCTGGGCAGGGACGCGAAGTAAGGAAAAGGGAATTTCCTTACAGCACACTACTACTACCGTAAGAGTACTCGCTTGATATGTGCGGTTGTAGTTTTATGAATATCGACTCATGAATGGTTGATGTTCAATCACACGCTATTTTGAATCCAAATCACAGGGAATCACCGAGGGTCACACTCTGGTGGTTCGCCAGCCTTACATGGTCAGCAGCCAATGACATCCATTCCGCGAGCTGGGGTTGGTGGGGCTGCCGACATCCACTCAGACCGCACATACCTCCACGTCCCCTCTACCGCGGCGCTCTCGGGCTTTCCACGCACCACATGGCAGACACTCGCTTCCCGGCGAGTTTTCCCCCAAGCCGAGCCTCGAGGCTGTCAAACTTCCTGACAGTATCTCCCCAAGCCAAGACATCCACGCTGCCACATCACCACCGCATTCAACTCCATCGCGATGGAGTTGAAACGGGCAGAGTTGAAACAGAAAGACGCGTCGTGGTTGGTTGAACTTTTGCTTTTTGCAGATCTTTCCACCAGCCCATCTGCATTTCGTGGTGGCTTTGAAAGCATTGCAAATCGTCCCGCCAGCCACGCGTATAGCGAAGCGAACCTGCTTCGGTTCGGGCCGTACCTCAACTTGGGGTGATCAACTGTCTCCTCTCTCCCTCGATTCTACCCACTCGGCTCCCTCTCGAGACTCTCTACCACGCCATCTGAGCCAACTCGGCTGTACAAGACTTGAATCCAGCTGCCTAATCTCTAGCCTGGAAGTAAGCTGATCGTGTTGTGACTGTTTGACTAGTGGCAGCCTCTGGTTGCCGTCATCAACACACGTCTTTCTCGGCTGCAGCGGGAACGAGTGCCATTCACTGATCAAATTGTGTTTTCACTACATGCTCACAGTTATCCAAGTATCGACTACCATCGTTGCGTCGATAGGATTTTAGTCCCGTTTCATCGGGACAGCGTCACCGTTCTCCTTCGTGCCTATTTCCAATCTCGTCGGCGACGATGGGACTCGAATCAGGCGACGCGAAGATGGCAGATCTCATGCAGACTGTCCTGAGCACCGCCTCGGCGGATCAAGCGAAGGTCGCCAAGGAGATCTGCGACCTTATCAAGAGCAACGGCGTCAAGCTATGCGAGGTACTGACCGCCGTTTTCCCACTTTTGTTGTGTCTCTTGCAACAAGTTTATTACTCTGTTGTAGCTTCCCTGCGTACCTGGTGCTGCGGAAGCGTACAAGTGTTGCATGAAACTCAAACCCTTCAATCTCTCTTGCACCGTTCCTTTTTCATTGCTTCGATTATTGCAGTCGCACAACCTGTTCGCGAGGATCGCACAAGGGCTCGACGACACGTCTACACCCGTTGTGAAGGAGGGAGCGTTGGTGCTTGTACGCAAGCTCGCGGAGACAGTCGGCGCTCCTCTGGAGGCGCAACTGGTTGCGCTTCTCCCCACACTGCTTCTCCGAGTGGGGGACAAAGGGCCCGCCGGGGGTAACAAGTCCGCGCCTGCGGGGAGCAAAGCTGCGCCTGTGGGGAACAAAGTCGCGGCGAACAAGGTCCTGGGCGGGCCAGCAGTGAGCAAAGTTCTGGGCGCACCCGCAGCGAACAAGGTTCTGGGCGCACCAGCGGCGAACAAGGTTTTGGGCGGCCCGGCGGCGAACAAGGTCCTGGGCGGCCCGGCGGCGAACAAGGTCTTGGGCGGCCCGGCCGCGAACAAGGTTCTGGGCGCGCCGGCCGCTGGGGGGAAGGGTCTGGCGGTCTTGAACAAAGCCGCGGGTCCCGTTCTGCTGAATAAGGCTGCTGGCCCGGTCTTGCTGAACAAAGCCGCTGCGCCCGCAGCGAACGGCGCTGCGCCCGCGGGTGCACCAGAGGCGGGTACGGCCGCGCCGGCGGCGGAGAGTGCAGTGTACGAATCGGTGGGAGTTCCGCTGGCGGCGGAAGCTGCTGCGAAGGCGGTGGTGGGAATGATCTGCCCCCATGCCGTCCCTCTCGTGCTGCCAGGTGTGTTGCGGGATCAGGGGTTCAGAAATAAATGAATGAATGAATTTTCCGGGGAGTAGGATTGGGAATGGCGGCCAGTGAGCGATGAATAAGAAGAGTAAAACATTCAAAGAAACGAGTAACTCGTGCGAAATATTGTCGTCATTTCCCGAAACCTTCGCTTTGCACCCCGAACCCTTTCCCCTGCTTGTACGCCTGCTTGCTCTCTTGAACCGAGAATATCACTTTACGCTGGCGTCATGCTCAGCTCACGCGAAACGCAGGAACTTATTATCTTGCACCCTGAAACTTGAACCTTGACGTTCAACCCCCGCAGTGCTGGTGGAGGGCGCGCGCAACCACAAGAGCTGGAAGACGCAGGAGGCGGCGCTTCTGCTGGTGGGTCACCTGGCTCTCAACGGGCCCCGCCAGGTGGCAGCCGCGCTCCACGTCATCGTGCCTCTGCTGTCCGAGTACATGATTGAAGGCAAAGCGCAGGTGAGATGCGCGAATGCGAAGAGGTTGGCCGCGTGCATTAACACATTGGGTCCTTGTGAAACGAAGATAATCACCTGCATTGGGTACGGTTCCGAGCCCATAGTCTTGCAGCAGTGGGCATACTACGGTTTCACCAAAACCCCCTGCGTTGGGGGCGAACAAAGAAACAAGAACAATTAGAACCGAACTGAACTCTTGCATATTCTCCCTTCTCCCCCCTGAGCAGGTAATGAAGGCGGCAGCAGCGTCCATGCTGCAGTGCGCGGGCACAATCGGCAACCGCGACATTGAAGCAGCAGTGCCGTCGCTAGTGGACGCCATTCTGCACCCCACGCACGTGCCCGAGTGCGTCAACCGCCTCTCAGGCATCACGTTCGTGCAGCCCGTGCTGTCGCCCGCGCTCGCCATCATGACGCCCGTGCTCGTGCGCGGCATGAAGGAGCGCGCCGCGCTCGTCAAGCGCAAGACCGTCGTGGTTATTGAGAACGTGCTGCGATTGGTGGAGGAGCCGCGGGAGCTCGGGCCGTTCCTGCCGATGCTGATGCCGGGCGTGGAGCGGGTGAGTGTGGAGGTCGCGGATCCGGAGTGCAGGCAGACGGCGGGCAGGGTGCTGCTGACTCTGCAGGGAATGAAAGAGGAGGTGGATTCTCACCACAAGGATGCTAGCGGCAGTGGGGATGTGTGTGCCGCTGCCTTGGCCATGGCGGAAGCTGCTGCTGCGGCGAAGAAGCGCGGCAGTGGGGGCGGTGCTTCTGGTAATGGTAGTCCTGGGGCTGGGGCGGGTGCTGCTGATGCAGCAGGGTCGTTGCTAGAGAGGCACGCAGCGAACGCGGTGGTGCTGCTGGGCTTCTTAAGGAATCTGATAGCATCGGGGGCGAGGGAGGAGGTGGAGAAGGGCGGCATGCTGGTGCAAACCCTAGAGTATGTCGTCCGCATGTGCACCGTCCTCGCAGCCGGCAAGCGTTTCGAGGAATCCGACTGGGTCCGCTGCGTCGTCCCGAGCCTCGAGCCGTACCTGTCCCCCTGGGGCGAGGACACCGAGGCTGTGGCTCGGCAGTTCTGCAAGCAGGCTCGGGAGGCGCACAAGGCAGCGCGGAGCAACGACGGGTCGGGGGCAGAGGATGGGGAGGACGAGGGGGAGGACCTGTGCGACTGTGAGTTCTCCCTCGGGTACGGAGGAAAAATCCTCCTCTCCGCTACCCGCCTGTGGCTGAAGCGTGGTCGCCGGTACGGTCTCTGCGGGCACAACGGATGCGGAAAATCCACTCTCATGCGCGCCATTGCCAACGGGAAACTCGACGGGTTCCCCTCAGCCGACGTGCTGAGGACAGTGTATGTGGAGCATGACTTGGACAGCAGTGTGGTGGATAGGAGTCCTGTAGAGTATCTGCTAGAGGAGGAGGCGTTGAAGGGAAAGGTGGACGAGGCGGAGGTGGTGAGGGAGCTGGGCAAGATGGGGTTTGGGGAGGACCGGCAGCGGCAGCCCATCACCGCGCTGTCGGGCGGATGGAAGATGAAGCTCGCGCTGGCTAGAGCCATGCTCATTGGGGCGGACATATTGCTGCTCGGTGAGTCGGGGGCGAAGGGGTTGGGATTGTGAAAGAGGGGGGTGAAAGTGGGGGGCTGGGCTGTGGTTTTGTTTGGATTAGGGCGGGCGGGTTGAGAAGGCAGCTGGCCCTAGCTATGGAATTGGGCTTCGCTCATTGTTTCCCCATCTCCTGGCCCCATCTTCCCCTCTCCACCTCCACGCTTCCCCTCGTCTGCTCTCCTCTTTCGCCCGCCATACGAATCGGCAATGCACATGGCGATGAGGGCGATGCTTGTTGTTTCCGCAACCTCATCGCCCCATTCGTCCTCTGCTCCTCGTCCGCTCACCACTCCCGCATAATAGACAAGCCAACGAGCCGCATGGACAGGAGAGCTGTGCTCATTATTTCCTCGCCCCCATGCTCCTCCCCTCTTCCCCCATTCCCTCGTCCGCTGCCCTCCCCCGCTCGCCTCCAACAACAGATGAGCCGACGAACCACATGGACACGACGAACGTGGAGTGGCTGCAGCGCTACCTGACGGGGCTCAAATGGAAGGGCATTTCTGAGTGTTTTCTTGGCCCCATCATCCCGCTCATTCCCTCTTCCCCTCTTCCCTCTTCCGCTCTCCTCCTCCCCTCGTCTGCACAACAGACGAGCCGACGAACCACATGGACACGACGAACGTGGAGTGGCTGCAGCGCTACCTGACAGGGCTCAAGACGCTGTCGTGCCTCATCGTGTCGCACGACAGTGGCTTCCTGGACGCCGTGTGCACTGACATCATCCACTACGAGAAGCGCAAGTTGAAACACTACCGGGGGAACCTCTCCGCGTTCGTGAAGGTGCGCCGTTCTTGCCTTGCGCCGTTTCGAATGCACCATTTGGATTCTCCCCTCTTTCGCCCTTTGTCCCTCTTTCCTCACCTTACCCTTCCCCCGCCCTCCCCTTCTCATGCCCTCCCTCTCTTCCTACCAGGTGAACCCAGCGGGTCGTGTGTACTACGACCTGGCAGCGGCGCCGTTCAAGTACAAGCTGCCGACGCCGGGGCAGCTGGACGGCATTCGGCGCAAGGAGTCGCCCATCCTGAAGCTCACCAACGTCTCCTTCACCTACCCCGAGGCACCGGCTCCCGCGCTCTCCAACGTGCACGTGCAGTGCTCCCTGGGTAGTCGTGTGGCTGTGGTGGGCGTGAACGGCGCTGGCAAGTCGACGCTTATCAAGCTGATCACTGGAGAGAGCAAGCCCACGGTGAGTGCAATGGTGGGGGAACGGGTTTAAGCAGGACATGCAGAGGAATACAGAAAGAGGGTAAAAATGGCATCCCGAATTCCTGCCCTGTCTTCCCTGCATCGTCTTACTCCTCTTGTCCCTTCCCTTCTTACCCCAACTCTTTTATCCCCCCCTCCCTCTCTCTCTCTCACTCCTTCCCTCCCCTGCAGAGCAGCACAATCTGGCGGCATCCGAACCTGGGCATGGAATACGTGGCACAGCACGCCTTTCACCACGTGGAGAAGCATCTAGACAACGAGTACATCCGCTGGTGCACGTGGTGTGGAACAGCGCCTGTACCAATCCCTGCCGTTCCTTACTCCTATCTCTGCCCTCCGCATTCCCTTCTCCCCTCCAGGCTGGTACAATCTGGCGGCATTTGAACCTGGGCATGGCGTATGTCGCCCAGCACGCGTTCCACCACGTGGAGCAGCACCTTCACCAATCCCTGCCACTCCTCGCCTCACTCCTTTCTCTGCCCCTCCCAATCCTTCATTCCCTCCAGGCTGGTACAATCTGGCGGCATCCAAACCTGGGAATGGCGTATGTCGCGCAGCACGCGTTCCACCACGTGGAGCAGCACCTAGACAAGTCGCCCAACGAGTACATCCGCTGGCGCTTTGCACGTGGGGAGGACCGGGAGGAGCTGAACAAGGTGTTTCGCAAGATAGGCAAGGAGGAGGCGAAGAGCATGGAGGAGCTCATCATGCACAACGGGCAGCGCAAGCAGGTGGAGCAGCTGCTGTCGCGCCGCAAGTCCAAGAAGAGTTATGAATACGAGGTCAAGGTGAGTGCCGCGGGGCTGGTGGTGGTGCGGGTGATGTTGGTGCTCGTGATGTGGGTGGTGTGTGTGGGTTGAGGGGGAACTGGAGCATGCAGCCAGGGATGCAACCGGGTGTGTGTCATTCTCATGGCTCGCACATGGTAGGAAACAAGTATGCTCGTGCCTCAGCTGCCTCGGGATTTCACATCGTGGAAAACCATTCATCTTTCCATTTTCTCCTCTCTCTCTCTCCTCCTCGCTCCTTTGTTCCCACTCTGCCTCCCTCCCCCCTCCATTGCTTGCCCCTTCCAGTGGGCGGGGTTGAAGCCAGTGTTCAACAGCTGGCTGTCAAGGAAGCTGTTGGAGGAGCTGGGCTTTGAGAAGGTCGTGAGGCACCTCCAAAGGCAAACCATCAATGGTTCCATCGTCGTTTTTCTTTTATCACTCCCTCCCCCTCTGTTCGCCCCTTCCAGTGGGTGGGGTTGAAGCCGGTGTTCAACAGCTGGCTGTCAAGGGAGCTGTTGGAGGACCTGGGCTTTGAGAAGCTCGTGCACGACGTGGACGCCAAGGAGGTGGCGCGCCTGGGCGTGTACGGCCGCCCCCTCACCATTGCGGGTGTGCAGGAGCACTTTGATAACTTCGGGCTGGATGCTGAGTTTGGCACGTACGGCCAGATCAAGAACCTCTCAGGTACACTTGATCCAATGAGTCAGTTTGATTGGTCTATTTGCTGCCCCTCTGCCCCGCAGCCTGGCTCCCTCGTTTCGAGGTTTAATTTGCTGGTTCGTCCAGCTGCTTTTTAGTAGCTGCTTGTCTCAATCACCCTTGTCACCATTTTGCTAATTTGTTTCTTCCCTCTTTCGCTCTCCCCCATCTGGCGCTCGCAGGTGGGCAGAAGGTGAAGGTGGTGTTGGCAGCAGCCATGTGGAGCAACCCGCACATGATAGTGTTGGACGAGCCCACCAATTACCTTGATAGAGACTCTCTCGCTGCGCTTGTCGGCGCCATCAACGACTATGAGGGCGCCGTGGTGGTCATTTCTCACAACAAGGAGTTTTTGGCGTCGCTCACCAACGAGACGTGGACTGTGGAAAACAAGATGGTTATTGCCCCTGGTAATCCTGCGTATGAGAAGGCGTTGAAGACCAGTGGAAAAAAGAAATAGGCCAATTTGATTTATTATAACCATGCTCATGAAGGGGTGATGCTTGTATTTTGATTTATTGTTGCACCTGTTTTCAAGAGTAGTGTAAATGTTACGAGTGCAATTGAGTGAACTAACTAGAATTGCACTATCGAAGCAAGAGAGTACCGTATCCCCCCGGATATACCCCCAAGGGGGGCAATAATTGTGAAAGGAATGAACAGGAATGAATTGACTAAGTCAGAGTTGGGTACAAATACAACCCTAGCAAACTGTACCCCATATGTGCTACCCCACTATAGCCTACAAACATGCATCAGCTATAAGAATCTGACACACCCCCATAGGCAAAGTGGGGGAGAACAAGGGGTCACAAGACCAGTCAAGCAAAGCAAAGCAAGCTCAGGGTGGATCACAAAGTCACCACACAGTCCGAGCACAAGAGCAAGGCCAGAGGCCAGTTCATATGCAGGAGTACAGACATATATATAAAACTAGACAAGCAAGAGCAGGTATATATATGTCAAAGTACAAGTAAAGTCAAGAAGAGAGCAAGTGAGGCAAGACAGGTACAAGACCCAGCTGGGTACAAAAGCGCTGATGGTCGCAAGGAGCAAGTGCCTTGGTGAACACATCAGCAGTGTTGGCCTCAGAGGCCACGTAAGCAAGTCGCAACTGACCACGCTGCTGCAGCTCACGAGCAAGGAAGTAGCGGAGAGCAATGTGCTTCGTTCTGTGCTCCAAGCGCTGCTCTCGACACAAGGCCAACATGGCCTTGTTGTCTACGTACAGCACTGGAGGAGAACGAGGCAACTCTCCAAGGTCAGTCAGCAGGTAGGTGAGCCAGCGAAGCTCCTGTGCAGCCATGGCCCCGGCGTAGATCTCAGCCTCACAACTGGAGCCGAGAACCGAAGACGAGCGAGTAGACCGCCACGAGACAGAGCCGGAACCAAGGCTGAAGGTGTAACCCTGTGACGACCGCTGCGTAGCCTGGTCGTCAGCCCAAGAAGCGTCTGCGTGCCCAGTAAGGACCACTGGACTCCGCCCTCCAAGCACAAGCCCCATGCCCGACGTACTGCACAGGTAGCGCAATACCCTCTTCGCTGCAGCCATGTGCTCTGGTCGGTGTCTCCCAGGAGCAACATAGCGTGCAAGGATGCTCAGAGGGTATGCAAGGTCAGGTCGTGTGCAGGTCATCAGGTACATGAGGCAGCCAACAAGCTCTGCATACGGACCACTCGACTCTACGGACTCATCCGAAGGCAGAGCTGAGAGTGAGTGGCGAGTAGGCAGAGGAGTGGCCTGAGGCGAGGAGTACGTGAAGCCGAAGCGCTGAAGGACCTGCTGCACCATGTGTGACTGAGTCAGGGTAATGGTGCGGCGTGCTCTGTCCCGAGTGATCTGCAAGCCAAGGTAGCTGCGCAGTTCACCCAGGTCTGTGCACGTGTGTCTCTTCAGCAGCTCGGACTTCACGTAGGCTAGTCCAGCAGTGTCCGCTGTGGCAAAGACCAAGTCGTCGACGTACACGAGGATGTAGAACGGCGGCAGGGAAGTGTCGGTGCGAAGAAACAGCGACGGGTCAGCAGTAGAAGGAGCAAACCCAAGAGCCGCAAGCGTAGTCCTCAGTGTGTCGTGCCACTCACGCGGTGCCTGGCGGAGACCGTAGACTGGCCGTCGGAGGCTCCACTGGGTGCCAGGAGGGAAAGTCCCAGTGAAGCCAGGCGGACGGCGCAGCCAGATCTCCTCGTGCAGGCTACCCTGCAGGAACGCAGTGCTGAAGTCGAGAGAGTGAAGCTCGTAGTCGCGCTGAGCGGCAATGTGCAGCAGCACCCGAAGAGTGGTCATCTTCAGGGTGGGAGAGAAGGTCTGAAAGTAGTCAACTCCCTGCCGCTGACTGAAGCCACGAGCCACGTAACGCGCCTTGAAGACAGGCGGCGAGCCCGGCGGCCGCTTCACCCTGAAGATCCACATGCCACTGACGATGTTCGCCCCAGGAGGGGGAACCGCGTCAACGTAGGTGCCTGTGGACTTCCAGGAAGCCATCTCTGCATCCATAGCTGCCTGCCACTGAGAGGAGTAGGGACCCTCTACGGCCTCCGCGTAAGAACGCGGAGTCGGGATGTCTAGTGCATCCGGGTCTCCCTCAGGGGCTAGCAGTACAGACGCGAGACGAGGTGAAGCAGCGGCTAGACACTGGAACTCCTCCTGCCTGTCCTCTAGGACGTCCGTGCCAAGGGCACACTCACCCCCGACGGACGGAGGACAGGCGGACTCTGACTCAGCGACAAGACGAGCAGCGTAGTCTAGACGACAGCGCGCAGCAAAGTCGACAAGCTCAGTGACAAGGGCAGACGCAGCAGACGACTCGAAGGAAGGGTCAGTGACAGCAGTAGCAAGGAGACGCGTGACAGTAGGACTGGCAGCACGAAGAGAGTCCGACTCCGGGTCGGCAAGAGCAGGAAGAGAGGAAGCAGGAGGAGAAGGCAAAGGGGCACGCAGAGGAGCAGTGGACGGACGCAGTGACATCCGGTGCGTGCCAGGGACAGGAGGAGGACGCTGACGCGACCCGCGACCACTAGCGCGCTCAGTACGAACAGGCGACGCAGGACGAGACGCAGGCTCACGACGCTCAGTAAGGCCTCCAGTCGGACCAGCGTAGGGAGAAGGAGTAGGCAAAGGGGAGGCAGGCTCTAGCTGTGGCTGTGACCGGACAGGCTGCGGACCCTCTAAGGGAGGAGGAGGAGGAGCAAGACCAAGAACCTGCTCCAGGAGCGGAACGAAGTACGGTCGAGACCGCGCGGCGACGCCAGAAACAGCAGGAACAGAACCAGCAGCTCCGGCCGGAGCACCCACTCCAGCAGCACCTCCAGCAGAACCACCAGAAGCTCCAGAACCTCCAGCAGCAGCACCAGGAGCACCGTCAATCGGACCACCAACCGCAGGCTCAGCGCCAACGTCCTCAGCAGGACCAGCTCCAGGAGAACCCTCAGACCCAGCAGCTCCAGCACCCACAGGACGAGCACCGCCAGGTCGCGTGGCAGCAGCGCCCTCCGCAGCCGAAGAACCACCAGCACCAGCGGCACGCCTCCAGCGCCGGGCAAACCACTCACGCAGCTCCTGTGGAGAGAGCGGCTCCCGGCGAGACGAAGCACCCCCAGGCACAGCACCTCCAGGCTCGGCACCTCCAGGCTCAGCACCCCCAGGCTCAGCACCCCCAGGCTCAGTACCCCCAGACACAGCACCCCCAGGCACAGCACCCCCAGGCTCAGCACCCCCAGGCACAGCACCCCCAGGCTCAGCACCCCCAGGCCCAGCACCCCCAGACTCCGCACCCCCAGGCTCAGCACCCCCAGGCTCAGCACCCCTAGACTCCGCACCCCCAGGCTCAGCTCCCGCAGCAGCACCAGAGTCACCAGTGACCTCGACAGGCTCGACCGCGTCTACTTGAGACACACCTGAAGGGGCAGGACCCTGAGGGGGGAGGGGGACTACTGGGGGGGGACCTGGTACCAAGAAGAGCGGGGGTGGGGGGAGGGACGGAGTGCGATAGGGGAAGAGGCGGTAGTAGGGTACCGACTCGTCGAACGTGACGTCCTGGGAGGACAGAACACGTCGAGAGGTGGGGTGGTAAAACTGCCACCCAGGGGCGTCGGGGGGGAACCCGAGGAAGACGCAGGGAGAAGCACGAGGGGACAGCTTGTCCGCAGACAGGTCGCGAACAAACGCCCGAGATCCCCAGACCCGGAACGCCGACGCATCGCCAACCTTCCCCGTCCACAATAGAGCTGGGGAGGTCTCCGGTCGAGAGACCCTGGGGTGGAGGTTGATCTGGTGCGCAGCGTACCTGACCGCAAACGGCCACAGAAAATGGGGAGCAGCCGCATGCATCATGGACGTACGAGCGACGTCCATGACCATGCCAATGCGGCGCTCAGCGATCCCATTCTGCTGTGGTGAGTCCGGAAGCGTGAAGGTCTGACGGATGCCTCGCACACGACAGTAGGCACTCAGGAGGGCAGAGGAGAACTCTCCGCCTCTGTCCGAGTGCAGACGCAAGACAGGGAAGTCAGAGCCAAAGCTTCTCCGAAGCTGAAGACGAGCTGCGCGGATCCAGTCGATCAACACCTGAGTGACCTCACCCTTGCTGAGCAAGGGGAAGACTGTGGTGTAACGCGAGTAGTCGTCAACCACCAGCAGGAAGTAGCGCTCGTGACCCTGTCCACGGACGCGGGCTGGGCCCCACACGTCCATGTGAAGCGTCTGCAACGGGGCCTCTGTCGGAGGAAACTGGGAGGAGTGAGGGGCAGCACGCTGGCGCCCCTCGACACAGGGGACACAGGCAGGGCCAGGGCCCGGAGGAAGGGGAGGGAGGGACCGGGGAAGACCAGACACAAGGACCCGCGAGGCCATGCCTCTGAGCCGAAGCAGAGAGGGGTGGCCAAGGCGGTGGTGCCAGAGGAGGGTCTCGTGAGACAGACGACGACACGAACAAGGGGCAGACTCAGGACCAGACCTGGACGCTGCAGCAAACACCTGACCAGACGAAGGGGCCCTACCAGACGCAGTACCTGGAGGAGAAGCAGTGGTCAGTGTGTACAGGCTCGACCCCGGCCGACGTGTAAATGTAGCCAGGTGGCGACCTGTATCCGCCTCCGTACAGTGGGTCACCCGCTGACGAGCAGGGGTGAACTGGTGGACACCTGCATCCTGGAGGTCAGCACCACTCACCAAGTTCGTCGAGAACGAGGGGAGGTAGAGACCAGTCAGGGTGCCAGAGGGGGCCGTCGGACACGGGAGGACAGTGGAGAAGCGAGACAGGACAGGCCCCCCAGAGGGGTCCGCCAGGGACACCGCAACAGGCCGACTCAGCGGCGTGAGAGTGGTGCGGTCCCTAAAGAAGGAGCGAGACGCTCCAGAGTCAAGGGTGAAGGTGTGAGAGGCCGAAGCCGACACAGTACCTGAGAGGGCGGACTCACCAGTACGTGAAAGCACAGACGCACTGGCACCTAGAGCAGCAGCCT